AAGAAAAGAAAAAAAAAGAAGAAAAGAAAAGAATCAAGACCGCACATCTCTATACAGACCAGAAAATACCGATTTGATATCAACTAGTGGAATACGATCATGCATTTGACACCATGATCTTGCGAAGCTCTCCGATTTGACCGACGCACCAGTGGCTCCTCCCGCTCGCGGCCCGCCAACTGGCCACAGGTCGTCGGCGTCACCAAATCCAAGAACAAAACTTTCAAAGACGCATTTGATGGGCTTTCCATTCAGTAGAAAAGTTTTACGCTTAGATCTCTGGCTTCATGTTACATAAATTCGTCCATCAATGCGCTGGGGTATCCTGTCGTTGTCAAACTGGCGCGCCTGCAACCCACCCGGGTAGGACTCTCGGTGGCCATCCTTGAAAAACCTTTCGAGGAAGCAGCTGTTCTCCACGGAGTTTGAGCCGACGCCCTGTCATAGCTTTTTATATATATATATATGTGGTTGTACTGCTTGTGTCCTTTTGCATGATCTATGTCGCGCGGTAAATGTAACGATAGCGGAAGAAGAAAAGTCTTGCGAGTCAGACCTGATGATTGTATTCACTGACATCGCTTACCAGATTCTCCTACTCGTCGGTCAATGTGATGTTCATAGTGACCAAAGCTTTGACTGAAAGCTCACTCAAATTCAAAATTAATATATCCGTGGCTAAAGTCTACTCTAAAAACACTGAACAAGGTCGTAGGGTAGGCCAAGGGTGCTGTTGAGAGTAGAGCCGGACGGCTTACGTCCGTGTTACCCATCAACAGCATCACTGAGGTGCACGGTTTCACATGCAAGGAAGAAACGTTGGAAACAATGCAGAAGAATTTACAATTGCTATTTGCCCTTTATAGATTACTCACGACGGCCTTCCTGCCACGTCCACATGCAACTCTTGACAGGGCGCGGTGCCCACACCTATATAGCCGAGAGGATATTATAGCACGCCTCTGCATTTGCATTACTGTATAGGAAAACCTAAGTGTTCTAGAAAAAAACCCATACAAGGCATGCCTTCCTCAGCGAAGGCTCAATCATTCGTCGTTGCTATTGATCGCGGCACACAATACACCTTGAACCTCATCACCCAGGTCAAGATCATGCAGGTCGGGAACAGACTGGCGGAGTCCAGCGTAAAGCGCGGGGGGGAAGCAGAAGGGGGACCTGTCACATCAAGTCAGCTGTGATGCACGTAGATACCGGTACACGGGCTTTTACTTACTTGTAGATGGAACAGCTCACGTCATTGGTCTGGAATCTTATCGAAGACACTTCTCCGCGACTTTGACTCTCAGTTAGTATCATGAACTGGCTGAAAAAGAGTGAACGTATTCAACTTACAGGGGCGCTGGAAGTGCCCAGCATCTGCCGACGGAAGGTACTACGTATGAGAGTCCTCGGTAGTTGACATGCTGGTAAAGTGTAACCTAGAATAGCGCAAAAAAACGTCAGTCAAGGCTACAAAGTTTAAAGGACACAAGTGAACTTACCCCGATGTTTTGGGTATCAGCAGTAGTCTCTTGGGCGGCGTCTGTAGCAGAAGCGACTGTCGCCATTGCGGCGGTGAGAACGTTGACGAAGTGCATATTGGTTGATGATTGGTAATGTCCAAGTTGGAATGTTTTTGGAAACTTGATGATGAAGGTGTTATTCAGGAATTGCCAAAGAGCAGAATCTACATTTATAGTTGGTCTGTGGAAGCTGCACAGTCCTACTCTAGCCCTCATCAAGTGTCGGTGTGTAAGTTGGTGACGACTTATGCGGGAAATCTCTCCGCGCGCCTCCAAGACATATTAGCTGAGATGTGATAACGCGATATGCGCACTTCAAGACATGTTCTTCATCATATTCACCGACTACAAGTTGACTCAGTATGGTTGTGACGGATGGTCCGAGCCGCGAACCCCGCTCATGTCTCTTACTGATAGCTACATCCAAAAAGCTTTGACAGCAAGCTGTACGACCATGTATACAGTCACCAGGTCTTCGGAATTGGTTGCCGCTTCTTAAATCCTTTTCCTGAAGTGTCAAGACAAACATGCATGCATGGTGCATGGAGACTGCCGAGGCACCATGTCAGCTCTCCTTGTCCTGCTGCGGCCACTTTGTGCTGCTTGAAGATGTGGATGCCGCAGAAACGTAACGAGACATTTCTATCCCAACAGAATGGCAACGTTCCATTGAGATATACGGATACAGGCGCTCTGAATGGGCCCGTGGAAGGGGAGGGGCAAAGCGTTGAGAAAGCGGTGCTTTGAAACAGTCGACGCTTTGCCCTGGTCTACTACCAGGCGAAGCACCGTAGATCTTTTCAAAAGTGTACTTCATCATTCGCTACCTATTGGCATACTGATAGAAAAGGGTCGAGGTTATATGAGGCGAAACGCCATTCAGCTCGCCACCGCGGACGCCTGTCTCGGCCGGTAGACGACACAACGGCGGTCCACATGTAGATCCTGCGCCATTCCGCATGTGCGAGGGAAATTGTTGCCTAAACCTTGTCGCTCTGGCAAATTGACTTGTTATGCTTGCCGATGACTAATTATGTATGCAATTGAGTTATTACTGACCGTGAGGCTGATCTTGAAGTAACAGGCTGTGCGGCTGTATGCTTGATGCGGTTACATAAACGGAAGCCAATCAAAGCTGAAGCTAGCTAACTAGTTACCAGTATGGTGTCGACTTTGAGTGCAATGTCTTGTCTTGCCATGTCCGGCTGACCAGAGGTCCCAGCAACAATATACTCCGACGGGCAGAGCTGTCGTAGCAAGTCAGACACAAGTAGCAGGGTATAAAGAAGACTGTCTTGATTCAATACGTTGTGCGCCGTTCAGCTCCGAATTCAGAATAAAAAAGTTGTGGGGTTTGTCTCTCCATACCAAGTAAAAGTCTCTAAACGTGAGCCTACAGGCTACAGCGGCCTCCAGCTTCACGGCCAAGATGTCGCATGGATCCAAATATGTGACCAGCAAAAGCCGTCTACAGTACAAATCATGTTGTGTATTAATCGGGATGAGCTGAGTGTGATACCAGAGCTGAATGTGATACCAGAGCTGAATGTGATGCCAGAGTTTGATGTTGTTATCTGAGAGGTTCTATATCTACCCCTCGACGCGACCTGCAATCTTGCTTGTCACAGCCATCGTCTTGATACAACATCAAAAAAAATCATGAAGTCGATTTCTTTGGCTTCGGCTATACTCTTTCTTCCGGCGTTTGCAGTCGCTGCTGCCAACTCCTCAGCTCTCCCTCTTGCCGGGGAAGAAGTGACTGTGGAGACACCGTCTGGTACAATCATCGGCGCCGTCACTGGCGTTGAAAGCTTCAATGGCATACCATTCGCAAAGCCTCCGGAGAAAGAATTACGCCTGAGGCCTCCCGTCAGGCTCACCGGCAACTTTGGCGTGTTCAATGCCACTGGCAAGGCAGTTGGCTGCCCGCAGATGCCGCCCAATTCTGGAGCAGTGCTTCTCCCACCACTTGCTGGTAAAAACATCACGCCTCCCATCTGGGACGAAGACGGGCCGCCCAAGGGCAAGGAAGACTGCCTCACTGTCACTGTTCAGCGCCCAAAGGGTACCCGGGCCGACGCAAACCTGCCAGTCCTCTTCTACATCTTTGGCGGGGCCTTTATGTTTGGCGCAACAAACGCCAATGATGCCGAAAAGTTCATCACGTTTGCCGAGCAGCAGAATCAGGGTTTCATCTTTGTAGGCGTCAACTACCGCCTCGGAGGCTTTGGGTTCCTAGGAGGATCCGAGATTTTGAAAGAGAAGAGTACAAATCTGGGTCTCCGCGACCAGCGCATGGGTCTCGAGTGGGTGGCTGACAACATTGCCTACTTTGGCGGAAATCCCAGAAACGTCACCCTCTGGGGCCAGTCGGCTGGCTCCATCTCCGTGTTTGATCAAATGGCATTATACAACGGTAATGCCGCATATAATGACCACCCGCTCTTCCATGGCGCAATTCTAAACTCGGGCTCCGTACTTCCTACAGAGTATGTTGACTCGCAGAAAGCTCAGGCTATTTTTGACAAAGTTGTCGATGCAGCAAACTGTACTTGGTCCAAAGTTTCACAGCTAGAGTGCCTTCGTTCTCTTGAATATGAGGACTTTTACCGTGCGGCAAATTCGGTCCCCCGCGTTCTAGACAGATCTTCTCTGGCCCTGTCCTACCTCCCCCGGCCCGACTACGAGCTTTTGCTAAAGAGCCCAGACGCCCTTGCTGAGGCGGGTACCTACTACGCCGTGCCGACCATCATCACCAGCCAGGAAGACGAAGGAACCTTTTTCTCCTTTGCGCAGATTGACCTCAACAACACAGAGGCTCTCGTCAACTACCTCTCCGACACATTCTTTGACAGAGCAACGAGGTCCCAAGTGGCTGACCTTGTCGACACGTATCCCATTGACCCTGCCGAGGGTAGTCCGTTCCGCACCCTACAGCTCAACGAGTGGTACCGGGATCATTACCGCAACGGAAACGGGTTCAAGCGCGTCGCGGCCCTCTTGGGCGACTTTGTTTTCACACTTGTTCGTCGCCTCACCCTGCAGGGCATGGCAACGTCGCATCCAGAGGTCTCGCTGTGGTCCTCACTCAACTCGGTTGCCTATGGAGCTCTGCCCTATTGGGGCACGCCGCATGGCACCGATGTGGGCATGATTTTCAACGGCACCGGTGTTCCCGTTGCCGTCAAATCGACAAGAACTTACTACCTCAACTTTATCCACAACCTGAATCCTAATATAGGCGTAAAGGGCTATCTAGAGTGGCCAAAGTGGACTCCTGACGGAAGGCAGCTGTTGTGGACCACAAAGTTTGGCAACATGTTGAAAGACGATACCTTTAGGGAGAAAAGCTACGAATATCTGAAGAATAATACCAAAGCGTTTTATTTCTAGGCATGAAAATAGGTTGATAGCTACAAAAAAAAAACAGCTCGTTAGATTTGTACTAATTCGATTAGTTTTAGTTACGTTCCGCGTGCAAGCAAGTTTTCTACGGACATTACGTGCAGATAGATGTGTATCAAAAGACAAATAGGCTGGCATGATGAAGCAGAATCCGAAAAAAAATGGGAAAGAAGAACATAAATTTATCTTTGTACTTTTGAGGATAATTAGGATACTGCATCGCAATGCTTTCGCAAAAAAAAAACAACATCATCAAAAGGTGAAGGCGAGCGCCAAGCCGCCGACAGACCCGGCTGGCTCTCCCCGGATGCCGGAAGAGAAAACCGGAGACAAAAGTCCCTTGCATACTGCGACCGAAGGCTTTCCGAAGCCCTGCATAAATATTTGGTGGGGAAGAATGCGACGATCTATCGTAGGCGGCTGCATTTGGGGTTACTTTCTAAGTGGACGACTTGCATAGGTACCGATTACGCGTCTTTAATAATCTTGGCAAAAAATATTGCGGCGCTTGAATACTAGAAACAGAAAGTTGTTGAGTCCATATCAACCGGTGTCATTTCCTGGTTGCCATCTTGCATCATTGCATCTGGTAACTAATAATAAAGTGGCGATTTAATTATGACCTCAGTGACGCTCTTAGCCTCGCCGATTTAGAAAAAAAAACGCATCCTCATTTAGACTCAATGCATTAGTTAGTTAGATTCATCTTCTTCCACATCCGACTTCTCCTCCGCCTTTGCCTCTTTCTTGCTGCCCCTCTTCACCGGCTTCAGCCACTCCTCCATCCCCTCCGGCCAGTACACGCGATTCTCAGGCCCTCCCATGCCAAAATCCTCTGCGCTCACAACGACCTCCTCCTCCACATCTCCGCCATCCCCATTCATCTCCCTCTTTGCCTTTCTCGCCGCCGCCTTTTTCGCAGCCCGCGGCTCGTCGTCGTCGCGCTCATACGGAACCACGTCATTCGCCAGGTCCCACCCCGGCAGCTTGTACGTGCGCATGAGCTCAAATACAGCCTGCTCCTTGTCCTTGGCCTCAATCATGAGGTCCATGTCGCGCGCGCACGGCGGCAGCACCTTGACGCGCGCCGAGTGCTTGCGGCGCTCGCGCGGCGTGACGGCGGCGGCCGTCGGCTCGCTGTAGTGCATCTTTTGCTTGATGCTCTTTCGCGTCCACGTCGCCGTGATGCGCGGGTACAGGTCGATGATGTCGCGCGTGCCTTCGCGGAGGCTCGCGTCGTCAAAAATGATGTTGTGGTGGTGGTAGTCGAGCACGAGCGGAATGTTGAGCTCCTCGCAGACGGGCAGCAGGTCGTGCACGCTCCACCCCACGTCGTCGTTTTCAAGCACCAGACGGTTCTGGACACCTCGCGGCAGCTTCTTGTAGTTTTCGCGGAAGCGGTCCAGGGTGGCCTGCTTGTCGCCAAAGATGCCGCCCATGTGTAGAATCATGACCGCGTCGCGGTCCAGCTGCGGTGGCAGCTTGAGCAGAGACAACAGCTCGTCGTGGTATTCGAGGTCGCGAAACGACGCATCGACGACTTCTTTCCGTGGGCTTCCTAGCTGCGTAAACTGGCCCGGGTGCGTCGTCAGACGGTGTCCTAGCTCCGCCGCCACCCGGCCTGCCTCGGCGAGCGCGTCGGCCGCAAAGGGCGCCAGCTTGTACCCGTACTCGGCGTGGCTCGCAAACGGAAACATTTCGCTGCTCAGGCGCAGAAACTTGATGCCGTACTTGTCGTTCCAGCGCAGCATCTTGGCAATGTCGCGGGCGTTGGCGAGTCCCAGATCCTGCACAAACGCGAGGCCGCGCGAGACGTCGGCCGGCTTCGACTTGTCGGGCCTGTTCTTGGTGGGGTGCTCTGGCTGTGACGGGTCGAGGAGCGGATGCCGATGTTCTAGGATCGATGCTATGCGACATGTTCGTGATGAAAAGACTGGTGGATTGGCTGTTCGGAGATATGTATTCAAACAAGCCTTGTTGGCAATCAGCTGGTGTCGTGCTAAACGCGCGTTGGGAGAGACATGGTAATTCTTACATAGCCTAACCGTCCGGACCATGGCAGTGGCAAAATGTCGCTGTTGACGGGCGGAGCGCGTCTGGCGCCTCTCTCAACGGCGACGGCTTCATCGTCGTTTTCTGCCTCGTCGTCCTCTACTTTGACGTCTGGGGTTTGCGTCTTTGCTTGTGGCCTCGCTTCTGGCTTCGCTTGTGGCTTTGATGTGGTGCGTGTTCTCGTGCGCTTCTCGACAATCTTGACTTCTGATTTAATCTCCGGTAAAGGCTCGATGGATTCCTCCTTTACTTGCTGGGTAGATCGACGCGGGAGCTTGCGGCGCGACAACGTCGCCGCCTCAACGTCAACGGCGACCATTTCCACGACAGCCGTCTTTCGCTTTGGTGCCATGATGGACAATGACAGATAAAATGGCCGCGAAATTGTCGACTTCCCAATGCTCGGGATCCCGCGATAATGACCTAGAGTGCGACGAAATGATTGCATGCGATTTATTTGCCAGTTTCCCGTTGGTGGTGAAGACGGATGTCACCGATGACGCTAACAAGAACGACTTTTTTAACAGTAGGTAGGTGTCGCGAAACGCTAATTGTGGATGTAAAGATGAAAATTTGCACGTTGAATGCCTAGGTAAGATTACCTAAATAAGCGCGGACCCTTAGGTACACGGAAGAGGGTAGGGAAGAGGCGAAATCCCCTGAAATCATCATTGCGATCCCGCGCCATGGTTGTCGATGTTGACTACTGGCTCAGATCGCACGCCCCGTAATCTGGTGATGCAATCGGACACCATTACGATCAGGTATATTAGGATCTGAAGTCCGGATCGCTCATCACATTTGAGTAGTATATTTTCCTTTTCTTTTTATTTCTTTCTGTAACTGCTTTCTTTTTTCATACACAAACGGCTCTTCAGCTTGCAGTTTGTAGCCCTTTTACGCCGTTTTACCCAGCTAGATCGATGACGATCATCTACGCGGAACGAGAACTCTCGGCAATGAACGATAAAAATACACAAACAATTCAAAGAAAGCATTGTAGAAAACTGCGTCTTGAAATGGGAATATTTTTCACATTTAGCAGTGAGCCTAGCCCTCGTCACAGCTTGTCAATGCGCACATAATCCAGGAAGCCTACAAAATTGAGCCCGCTTATCACTGATCAATCTGCGTGCTCGGTTCTCCGCTCCTCCACCGGCTGTCGGTTTAAATGATATTCCCTAAGAAATCTAAGGCTAAACGCGTTTGCCACCCTTTGGCGTCAAATCTGCACAACTCTGAGACGGCTGCTAGTCCACTGCCAGCATTTCTTTCTCTCTATCTTGCCGCAACTTAGCGGATAGCTTTTGAACAGACTTGTTCGAGGCTAGCCATGCACATTCAGCTGCACAGTCTCCCCCGTAGGTTGCGTTCAGTGGCTTGAAGGTAGAATCATCACCTAACAATCGAGTCAGCTCACGATTAAAGCCAGATCGGATCGGCTTTCCCCTTTCTCACTTGATCTTCCGATTGAAACTTCGAGCCCGGGGCTCGCGATCGTCAGGGGCCACGTCGGAAGCCGGATGCCTATCCGATGTGGATATGGGACTGAACAGGGGTCATGATTCAAAAGTCAGACCACGGACGCGACTGCTGTTCGCGACTTGAGCAGCAACAGCAGTCGACTTCAAGAGCAGGCGCAAGTGGAACATAGCACTCGCAAACAGCAGTCGCGTCTTGCATCCCTTACAATAATGGCCGACGTGGAAGTACTGGCTGCCCAGGCAGATATCAAAATACCGCCATCATCTCAAGCCCCTCCCGCTTCCCAATCGCATTTCACGAAGTTTGAAAACTTTATACCCGACGATGACGCGCCGTTTGACAAGGAATTCGCGCGCCTGGCAGCATCCCAGGAGTGGATCGCGGGCTCCCAGGAATACACCAAGGAGCGTACGATTGCTATGCGCGCCGAGCTCAAAACGCACTATTTTTCCTCGTCGCAAAAAATTGAAGAACTGCCCGAAGAAGATGCCGCCGCCGACGAGATGACCAAAGAGGCTATTATACTCGAGGGGTACCAAGCCCTATGTGGCGAGGTCGGCCTGACGCGCTACGACACCACGGAAGAATGCCAGCGGGAGCTGAAAAAGACACTGGTCAACATTGTAGACTTGATTGACGCCCGGCGGACGATGAAGGAGGTCAAGATTTGGCAAGACTTTGAAGCGTTTCGGGCCTACACACTCAACGGCATGACGATTGACGTCGAAGAGGCGAAGAAGGATGGAGGGCACCTAGCGTCTTTGCTGCAGCGGCTCAGGGGGCGCCGGGGGCGAAGAATCAGGGGGAAAGGGAAAGATGGGCTCAAGCGAAACAAGGTGTCGAAACGTGTTACGAAGAACCGAAAGTGATTGGTCAGGGCAGTCACTTTTGAAGGATCTGGATGGAATATGATCGGTGTACTTGGAGGACGAGAGAAAAACATGTTTCCTGACACGAGGAACGTTTGCCTTGCAAGAATACTGCGCAATGTATCTCAGCCAGTCCATATGCCACCACTTCCTCTATTCAGCTTAAATTTGCCTCCGGCTACCTAACGGGTTAGGCTTAATTGGCCGACTTTTCTATTCGTACCAGAAATTTCGCTTTTCCAGCCATGCCGTTGACGGCTACAGCGGTCAATGAATGCTATAGGGCTGCTTGCCGGGCGCCGGGCAACTAGCAGCAGTTCTCCACAGTGTCCCCCCGCACTCTTCCCAACCCCGACGATCCGTCCGACGATTGAAGAGGTCGACTTACTCTCATTGGTTCATCAGCTTCCGTGCCGTCCTGATACTGATATAAACTCGCATGATTATATAGGAAGAAAGAATTTATAACCGTGCTACTTTGCCCTATAATACTACCATCGATTTGTACTGTAAAATGTATGCTTAGGGCTGGTGTGCTGGAGGGATGGTAAAAGGCCAACTCCAGACGTCTTGCAGCGTATTCATCTTTTCTGCGGTTTTAGTTCCACTACTGATATTCTAGTGGCCCCAGAATATCAGTAGGATTCGGGTGAGCGCCACTATGCGAGCCTTGTCAGAAGTAGCCACTGCTACTTGCCTGCCCCATAGTACTTCGGCTGCGCGGCTAACTTGCGTGCTAACACCAAGTACCTGAAACCTTTGGAGCTACATGGATTCAAATTCATCCCTGTAAATTGAATACCAGTTTGCTCTTTCCGTCAAAGAATTTCCCTACATACTTATATATTAATTAGCAAACTGTGACGACGCCCAGTGGGTCACAAAAAGCCGCCGGTCGAGGGGGGTAAATAGGACCCAACCGGCGACTTTACTGTACCCCGCGTGGACACCACGTATAAATACTGGTCCATCATTATGACTATGGTTCACGCCCAGTCATTGTTTGGCAGCTTCATCACCGCTCAAGAAACGTCACCATATTTCTCGACGCCACTCACTAGATACTCTGTACCACACCATGGTTAGACCAAGAGGAAAATATCGACCCCTTCCCGAGAAGCCGCTTATAACCTGGACGAGGTTTTACCTACCGCGTGATCAAGAATGGCCGGTGTGGACCGTGGATCACGACGACATCCACGCAGGCCCTCTTACCAGACTTCCTTGTCTAAGGCTGGGATTGGCAAGAATGGTGGACAAGCCCGATCAGGCGGCCTACATCATCGGTGAGTTGCCGCCGTCTTTATCCATCTGAAACGGATTCGCCATTTGCATGCCCACGTTACATGACCTGATCGCCGGAATGTTGCTAGAATGGTATACGCAACAAGACTTTAAAAACTTTGAGTCTTCCCCGGCCTGCGTCGAGTTTCTGCGAAACCTTCCTGAATCCGCAGCATCGGAAGAATCAAGCTCCCGACTGGAGCATTTGAACCTGGACGACGAATCTGCTCCCCTCCCAAAATCATCAGGAAAATCTCGGTTTCGCGTTTACAAACATAGTACTCGGCTTCCAACTAGAGAGCTGGAAGGGCTTGTCACTCTGACGGCATTTTCGGTGCCAGCCAAAATTGATGACAACGACAGCAGGTTCCTGGAGATCTCTCGTGCATTAGAGGCCAAGTTTTCCGCCTTCAGGCCCCAAGGCTACACTTGGTTGACAAAGCATGGCGCATCGAACAGGTTCATCTGCATATGGCTCTGGGTGCTCGAGGAGGACAGCTGGGTTGAAGAAAAGTTCGGAACGCTAAAACAGTCACAGCCTGGTGAAGATGACCCGAGCCGAGCTATACTCTGTCACATTTTTCTCTGGTCAAGAGGCTATGCGGAACCTCACAAAGAGGAAGAAGCGTCAGCAGCAGATCCACAGGCGCGGGAGTCGTGGGAACGACGTGCAGCGCTGGTGATGCCTCCCGCCACAGCCTGGGTGCAGGAGCGCTGGGACATACGGCAAGTGCCACGCTTCGAGGCCTCCTCTTCTGAGGAAGAGGGTGAAGGTCCGGAATGGGAGGAAGAATTGGAGGATAGGCGACGGCTCGAAGAGTTTAGAGCTCAAACAGAGAGACGGAAGACCAGTAATGACGCCAAGCCACAATGTAGTTACAGTGCAGCCATGCAAGTCTGCCGCCGAGGGTGAGCCTCGAGCTTTTAGTGAGAAGTCCTCAGAGGCATACCATTGTATGCTTCCAGGTCACAGAATGAGAGAATTGATTAAACTGTACAGCTTTCTGACTGTGCTGACTACGCGTGATGATATACATGTGGCCCGTGGTTGTGGAGGATCGTCTTCCAAAATCCGTACCGTCTGTTAGCAGCCGAGTGTGAGAGTAATCCATGGCAACTTGGAGTTGCGAAAGCATGCCTGCATCCAATTATTATCCCCCAACGTGCCAATTCACTGTGCTTGCATTGTCCAGCTTTACCGCTTGCGAGTAGCGCACTTGTCCATAATCTGAACTTCTGCTTCGACGGGGGTCAAAGTCAAGGGGCAACTGCTCCCAGCACGAGATTGCTCCTGGGGCCCATGGCCTTAAAGGCCCAGTTCCTACCTATAGACCAAATTTTGTTTTTGTCCGGTAATCCAAACAAGTGATACATCTGCGCGACAAAGAAGACGTAGTTCTCGATGTTTTTCAGTGCATCTTCCTGCTTCAGGTTGGCGCACGTGGCAATGTCATCTATCAGTCCCTCCAGATCAGCACTTATTTCGCGAGGATGCTACCTAGTAGGTACTACAAGTAGGGGTTAGGACCAAGGCCAAACAAAGGCTGCTCACATGATTCATCATTGCCTGAAAATAAATCGTCTCCGCGGATCGCGTGAAACGCCTCGTGAAGCAAGGTAGCGCTTCTCGGAACACCATCGGCGAGGTTTGTGCCGTCGGTGATGAGATTGTTGGCATCTCGATAGTTGGCCTGCCTGAGGGTGGTGTTGAACGACTCTGGGCAGAGGATGACGGACGCGATTTCGACCTTCTCGGCTTCTCCCGCGGGAAGGGGTCGGTTGAGCTCCTCGATGTGCGCTGTGGCGGCCAACTGGCTCTCGGTGCAGTAATCGCCGCCCTTTTCTGTAAAATAGTACCCCTTGAGGGCGCTATGTGCGCCGGACCACCATGGCCGGGCGTTGGGCTCTCTTGCAAGCGCCTTCTTATATTCCTTTACTTTTTCTATGGTGACTATTTCATTGTCGTCATCATGGATCTTGTTGCCCAGATAATCATATGCTGGCTGGGATGGCAGGTGCGATTCAAGAAAGGTGCAGTCACAGAAGAGCCAAAAATGTTCCTTTTTGTACGGGCCTCCCTGGAAAAATGTGTACACCCACTCGAGTTCATCTGGTTCGCTGTCAGTTCAACGACTAAGATTTCAAGCAGAGCAGGAGGTGTGGTTTTCTCTTTCAAGTGAAAAGGGGTCAGACATTGTTACTTTGTGATTACGACATACTTTTAACTGTTTTGAAGCCCTCGCGTCTTTTTCCGGATGCCGGCATCTTGCCCTGGTTCTGGATATGAAAGATGGTGTTCATCGCCTTCCGGACATTTAGATTCGAATTATATCGGTCAATAGCGTCCAAAGCCTGCTCGACACTGAGCGTGCTTTCTGCAAGCCAATTATTTAGCAAGTTCATTTGGCCATCGCAGCTTCCAGCTACCTTGCCGCGCTGGACTGTGAAGATGTCGCTGATATCTACCGCGACGATCCATGGCAGGAGTTGGAGGGCGAGGAGGGCCGCAAATAGACGTCCAAAGCCAGAGAGTTTCGCCATTCTGCGATCCCACAGGCAAATGGCAGCGCAAGCGTTGCGAAGGTGGATGGCGTTAGGAAATGGTATAAGACAGGAGAAGGGGGAAGCAGAATGAGACGGGCTGTGCTATCAATGGCGGCGCCGATTCACCGCTGGTCTCATGGTTACCTAGCATACTTTTAATTTGGCTGCTTGCATCGGGGAACGCGGATGACTTTCCACGCTTGCATCGGAAGTGAAGGCTGTAGATGCAAGCAAGGATTGGCTCAGTCGGTGTGATGGAACTTTTACCACATACTCTTCTGGGCAATGCAGAATCGTGAGGGGGCGCAGAACTACACATACTAGTTTCCAAAGCCTGTTTATGATAACGCGTGCTGGCTACGTATGTGCTTCGAGTGCAGTGTGTGACCGAATCTGGGGCCAAGCTTGCGAGCACAGCACTTCCCTCCTATAATGCGACGGCTGCGACGGAAACGATGCCACGGAAACGATGTGATGGGGTTATGCATATTGCCGGTTCCACGAATACTTACACCTTGCACTCCGTCTAGTCAAAGATTTGGAGTAAGGCTAATCAAGCTCTGTAAGCTTAATTAGTCACATCGTCAACTTGAGCATCGCGCAGACGGACAACTCGATAGCGCGAATCACCTACAGGACATTGCGCAAGTGGAACTATTGAGAGCGGGGTGCATGTGGCGTATCAATACATGTTTATGTTGTTATATATATTATTGAGCTCCTATTCAATGCTGCTGCAAGCTCATAGCCGTACGAGCACGATGATACGGTGCGGGGTAAAGAGATGGTCTGTTTAGCAATGCGCTTTGTTTTTGAAACGCCGGCATTGTATCAAACAACGATTACAAGAAATAGTTAGTATCAAAATTAACGGAGTCTCGCCGCGAAACTGAAAAGGCTAAAACGGGCAAAAAGAAGAAGAAATATTGCGACGGTAAAATTTGTTCAAACTCTATGGCCAAGCAGGCCTCCAGTTGGCCAATTAATGAGAGCTACTAATGAGGTAAAATAATAGTGCATAATCCTACGCTAACCCGCAGCCACAATCTTGACTAAAATACCCTTGGTAACATAGCCCTTGGGGTAGGTCGGACCCGAATAAGTCGGGTTGCTAGCGTTGACGGCGACACCCTTGGAGCCACCGTCGGTGGCACATCCAATCAGGGCGGCGGCCTGCTGGGCAGAACTGGCATTTGGACCGCCATCGATCGTGGTGGCAATGTCGCTAAAGAGCACACTCGAGTCGACCGTCAGGTCAATGTGCTTGGCCACGGCGCGAGCGGTGCCGTGGGCGTACAGCTGCCACTCGGCGCAGTCGGGCGTGTCCTTGGCGGCCATGCTGAACAGTCTACCGGCGCGTGTCTGCGCGCCGTAAGCCCGCAGGTAGGACGCGATGAACTGCACGTCCTTGATGTCAACGCCCTGCGGATCGTTGTTGGGTGCGGTGTAGCAGAGCTGGCTCGCCGTTTCTGTGGGGTAGCAAGTTCGCGGGGCCAGGATCGGCCCGGCGATGGTGCCGCCCACGAGGCTGAGGGTTAGGCTAATAAAATAAGAGAAGGTGGGGAGCATCTTGAAAAATGGGGCTTTTTTTTTTGGCCGTAACAAACGCTTTTGGACGGGGGCTGAAAAATGTAAAAGGAAAACGCGGAGAATAGTGCTTTGTTTTGCCTTGACAACAACTGCGCTGGGGAGCAACAATTATCCCGGAAGCAGAGAGAATGCCGGCCAACTTATATCCTTTTACGAACCACTACGCCTAGTACATCTACCGATGAATAGTTTGCCTGTGGGTGAGCGCAGGCTGGCGGAGAAAATGGAACATCAACTGGGCCAAACGCTGCATATGTAGCCAAGAAGTGGCTACATTCGAAGCTGGCATCTCGAAAAACATGCGCAAATATATGCGCAAATATATACGCAAATATATACGCAAATATATGACGACAGATATAGACCAAGCAGCCCGGCTCAGGTCCGGCTCAACCAGGCTTCGCATGTCCGTTTGAGCAGTCATGGACTGGTCGGTGACGAGCCTCGTGTGTCTGGTGCAACTGCATATACCGACTGAGAACTTATGGTCCACGACATGATTCTTGCAGCAGTATGCATATATGCATACATACTCATGGATATATGTGTCGCCATCACTTCCCGAAGTATTTGCCGGTCCTCGTCTGCTAAGCTGCTGGCTAACAGATCGTCGGAAGACTAGGCAGAGCGAGATTGAGCGAGGACGGATAATCGGCATCACAATTCAGACTACTGAGATGATCTGCATGCATGCAGAAATTGTTCAATAATCATTGAGCTGCCTCCGACTTCGAAGCCGCCTTCGCTTGCGGTCAAGGGTGATGGAAGCTTTCGCTTCTCCCAGAGCGACCTTGTTCTTCTGTCCTTCGTCTCTCTCGCGATCTCTGACCTCTTCGTATTATTGGCACCTTGAACTTGTGACTCGAATGTCAGGGAACCATGGCGGCAGTTGTCCTCTCTTTGTTAGCCTTGCTGGCTGCGCAGAGGAGTCTGGTGCAGTCCGTCGGCATTCCTTATGCTCGCGACGTAAACTCAACCAACCTCTCTTACAATCCCCGTGTATGTAGCGTCTGCCTCGTTTATTGGCCTTGTAAAGAGAGATTGGAAAGCTGACATGTGTCCGTGTTCGACAGCCCGCCCCGGCATACATGGTTGACAACCAAGACAATTATTACCATGTCGCACCTGACAAGGGAAAACACAATGGCCCGGTATGGAGCTACTCGGGAAGCCTTGATGGTTATCTGAGCAATCTCCAGCGCGGCTACGTGCTCCGTGGTGGCTACGCCGGTTACAACGGCACCAGCAACGGCACCAGACAGACAAGCCTCACGTTTCCGACGCAGAAGCTACAATCATCGTCTGACTACTGGCTCTCGAAACTGGCACAGCTGGGAAGTGTGAGGTTTTGCCCGACTTTTAACTTTAACGTTCTTGTGCCTGGACCTGTACTGACGTCAGTTTTCCACAGCAACCACTCGCGGGCGGCAAAGACTACCAATTCTTCCGCAATGTCGTCGACGACTTTGGCGCCGATAACAGCGGCAAGTCCGACACGGCTGAGGCGCTGAATGCTGCCTCAGCCAGCTGGAACAAGGACTCCGTCGGCGGCAAGCAGACGCGCTGCGGCCAGCAGTGCGGCAACACTTTCTCGCAGGGCGCCATCCTCTTCTTTCCGGGCGGCACCTACAAGATCTGCTCGCCTGTCATACAGTACTACTACACGCAGTTCGTCGGCGACCCCAACGACATGCCCATAATCAAGGGCTGCGACAAATTTGAGGGCATCGCTTTAATTGACGTGGACCCTTATATCCCTGGTGGCGCGGGCCAGCAGTGGTACATCAACCAGAACCAGTTCTTCCGCCAGATCCGAAACTTCCGCTTTGATCTCACAGATATGCCCGAGTCGACAGATGAGAACGACCAGAACTACGTGCCGACAGGCATCCACTGGCAGGTGGCGCAGGCCACTTCGCTGCAGAACCTCGTCTTTGATATGCCGACGACCAGCAAGACCACTGCCGTGGGCATTTTTACGGAGAACGGCAGCGGCGGATTTGTCTCGGACCTCACCTTCAATGGCGGCAACATTGGCTGGCGTGCGGGCTCACAGCAGTACACGGCGCGCAGTCTGACGTTCAACAAGTGCAACACAGCCGTCCAGATGGTTTGGGATTGGGGCTGGAACTGGCAGGATGTCACCGTCAAAGGCGGCTCCATCGCGTTTAACATCTCCGGTGTCGGAGGCAAGACCAGTCAGGGCATCGGCAGCATCTCCATCATCGATTCTACTATTAGCGGGGTTGGCGTCGGCGTCTTGACCAACAGCCTCGCGACATCGCCAAACATTGTGCTCGACAATACCAAATTTACTGATGTCGGTACGGCGGTCAAGTCGACTGACGGAAGCACGCTTCTCTCTGGGGGCGCCGATCTATGGGCCACGGGCAAGCGATACAATGGCGACAAGGGATCAGTTGAGACGGGAATTGTAAAGGCCCCTGCACGCGGCAAAGGCCTCAACGGCGACGACGGCAAACTCTATATGCGCTCTCGTCCGCAGTACGAGAAAAAGTCCCCAAGCGACTTCTTAGTTGCAACCACAGATGGCGGGTGCAAGAACGACGCCAGCGGTGACCAGGCATCCTGCGTCAACGACTTCTTGCGCAGCGCTGTGGATAAGGGCAAGATTGCTTTCTTCCCAGCCGGCATCTACGCAGTGGGATCGACGGTGCACGTCCCGACCAACTCGGTGATCCAAGGCTCGTCGTGGTCCCAGATCATGGGTTCAGGCTTTTACTTTAGCGACATCACGAACCCCAAGGTCATGGTGCAGGTTGGTAATAAGGGCGATATCGGCACTATGGAAATCACCGAGATGCTCTTCTCAGTGCGAGGTGCCACGGCGGGTGCCATACTGATGGAGTGGAATGTCGCCGCCAAGTCGCAAGGCGCGGCGGCTATGTGGGATTCGCACTTTCGCGTCGGCGGCGCCCTGACCACGCATCTCGACTTGGCCACTTGTCCACGCTTCAGCAACAACGCCGCGTGCATCGCCGCGTCGCTACTATTTCGCGTCACGCCGCAAGCAAATGGCTACTTTGAGAACGTGTGGGCCTGGGTCGGCGACCACGACAACGATCAGACCATTGTGAACCAGCCTGACTCGAGTGCTACTCAAATCTCCGTCTTTGCCGCGCGTGGCATGCTCATTGAGTCGCAGGGTCCTTCGTGGTTCTACGGCGGCGGCTCGGAGCACTCTGTCCTCTACAATTACCTCCTCAGCGGCGCCAAGAGCGTCTTCATGGGCCACATCCAGACGGAGTCGCCGTACTACCAGCCCAACCCCCGGCCGCCGGACCCCTTCCGCGCCGGCGCGCGCTTCCCTAATGACCCAGACTTTAGCGACTGCGAGTTGGCGGCCGCCGTGGAGGAAGACCGGTGCAACTACGCGTGGGGTATGCTCGTGATTGACTCGACCGACGTCATGGTGCACTCAGCCGGCCTCTACAGCTTCTTCAATGAGTACTACCAGGACTGTATCGCCAGCCACAACTGCCAGACGCGCATCCTCGAGGTCAAGGGCTCGACGGGTGTTGTCATCTTCAACCTCTTCACCGTCGCCACCGTCAACATTGCGAGCGGCATTGACGGGACCAAGGTTCTACAGAAGGATAACCAGCGGGGCTTCACCACCGAGGTCAGCGTTTGGGTGCCGCTCCCCGGGTCCGACACAGTCGACATTATCTGGATCGACACTAAAGTTTGGGAAACCCCGACAGTCACCTGCTCGGCTCCGTCGTGCATGTTCATCATTCCGACAACGCGACTGGGGTCCACGACGACAATTCATCCCAACAACTACACGACCTCGTTCGAATACGGAGGCTTCGGGCCGACCACCATCGGCGGCTCCACGACGACCGTCTTTATCACGTCAACTACGACCGTCGTCATCGAGGTTCCGGGTATCACCACTGACGGCATTGGTTACTCAAACGTCAATGTGACATCGGGCTCCATGCCCATCACTGTCCGCCCTAGTGTCCCCATACCGCCCATGGGCGTGACTCTGCCGGACGGGAAGGGTGGCACGACGGTTCGAACCGTGCCACTTCCACCCTGGCCGCGAATTGACGGTGGTCCCACTGTCCCGTACACCGATCCGGCGACTCTCCCGCCTCCCTCCGGCGGCGTCGGACCCGGCTCCAGCACCACCTACTACACGCCCGTCAAGACCCGCATCACAGTACCCAGTGCTACGGTGACCACGGTGACGTTCCCGGCCTCTACTGGAGCCGTCACCATTAATTGTCCCGCCGAGACGTCCATCGCCTTTGCTACGCCTCTAGTCGTTGTCGCTACCACGTGCACGGGTTCGTCCGCCCATACGCTGAAGTTTACCTGCCCGACCACCCGCGTCCTTACATTCCTTGGGCCCGCCACGGTCGAAGCCACGGTCGATTGCTCTCTAGTCACGTCTTGGACGACTGGTTCCAGCTCCACCACGACGCCGCTTCCCGTCTACACAAACTGGCCGCCCGTCATGCAGATCATCCCCAAGGACAGGAAGATTGACAAGCCAGAACCCGACGACCGCGGCGTCCATGTACCCTGCGCCGCGTGGTTCTTCTTCCTTTGCATCACTTGGGGCAAGGTCAAGGTGCTGTCCTGGTACTGGATCCTGCCACCGGGCATCTACGGCCCCGGCCCGCCGCCCATCAAAAACATCCTGCTCCCGCCTGGCATCACCATCAAAGGCAAGCTGCCACCCTGGCCACGCCTGACCATCGGCCCAGACCACCAATTAACGACCGAGAAGGAGCCCAAGTGTGAAACTAAGACGGCTGAGGCCTGCACCTGGACTACGTACATCACTGGTGGCGAGACCAAATCCTCAACATCAGCGTGCGAGACCATCACCGGCTGCTCCATCAGCATAACTGAATCGTCCACCGAGGTCATCGGCAAGCAGACTATTGCGCCCGTCGGTACCTGGATTGCAGAACACTGGCCGACCACGACCCTGGGGGCCGCATACACCAACTCCGTCTACGCCACCCTGATGGCGCGCATGGCGCGCGATGAAGCTGAAGGCGAAGGCACCACCCTCGACGTCACGCCAGGGCCGGCTGCCGGCCCCACGTGCCCCGGCACGAGCAGCGCCTGCGGCGGCACCGTCTGCAGCGGCTACTGGTGCACAGCGTCTCCCACAGGACCCCCACCGGCGTACCAGGATCCCAATGACCCCAACTCGGGCGGCTACATGGCGCCGACCAAGACCATCGGCACAAGCGAACCTCCCTCTGGCACGGGCAATCCCCCGTCCGACACGCCCACGACGCCGCTGAAGCGTGGGCCCATCAACTGCTACAAGGAGAGCGACTTTCCCGGCCACGCCGATCTCCATTCCGGCTCCCAAGATGCCGGCGCGAAGCAGTTTAGCGGGCAGCTCTCAAGCGACAAGATGCTCATCGGGCCGGGCGACCCGCCTGTCAAGTATCGCTACACGGACAAGCGCGGCGTCAACTACGACTACTCGTGTACCTGGGTGAGCGGCTGCAAGACCAGCGTGGACAAGCAAAACTTTCAGTTTCCCGACGGCAACAATACGAGCCAACTCACTGCTTACGTGCTCGTTAGAGAGGACTATACAAAGTGTAAGTGGGCTCTCTCTCTCTCTCCTCGTATTACACTGGGGGGGAATGAGGGGGCCAGGGAGGTTTATCATATGTAGATGGGATGTACAAATGACAAGAAAAAAGCTAACAAATTTGCAATCTAGGCAACAACGGGGGCGTTGGGGGTTCGTGCCAAGTTGGGTGTCTGCTGTACAGCTTTGAGGGCGGCCGAGGCGATCCGCCGGACCCGAGTTGTAAGAAATTTGATTGTAGTATATGCGGTTCGCCAGGCGAGCCAATAGAGTGCCAAATATGCTGTAGGGGCTAGAGGTTTGATAGATGATTAATGATATGGTTCACGTTCACTTCATTTCCAAGCTACTATTTGTAGTATCTATACTTGTAATAGAAGAAAGAGATGAGAATCTTCTGCTTCTGGTTGGACTGGAAGAGTTTTGGCAGGTAAGCAACGTCAGGATACAAGTGGAACTCCCTAGTCCTTGGCAGCATCTTCAATGACCTGCTCCACGTTAGCAAAGGCAAACTCGGCCATCGTCTCCTTCCAGAGCTGCGCGGAAACCTTTTCACCCTCTTTGGTGTAAATGATGGGCGCCATTCTGTTCGAGTTAGCGATTGTCCCCCCATGTGGTGCTTGCTGTAGGGAATTAACGCACGGCTTGATTTTTTGGGCAGACAGGTACTGGCCGTGTGTCTCCTCGTTAATGTGGTGGAGGGCAGCGTCGGTAATGTGGCGAGCGCCAACATCGGCGGTGTATCCAAGGCGGCGGAGGATGGGCTTGACCAGCTTGCCGCCAACGGTGCGGTCAACCTCGCGGTTAAACTGCGTGCCGCGGACCATGCCAGGCGTCGCGCAGTTGATGGTCACGACAGAACTAGGCACTCGCTTCGCTAGCTCGGCAATGTAGAACTGGCCGAGGAGCTTCGAGACCATCATGCGGTCGGTGAGATTGCTGGCGCCTTTGTCGAGCGCCGTAAAAAGCGGGACGCTAGTCTTTTCTTTAAAAGAGGTCCAGCTAGACACGTCGGATGAGGTGACGGTGATTCTGGTAGGACCGCCCTGGGCAGCACGCTTGGCCTTTGCGACGGGCAGCAGCAGAGCGATGAGCAGGGCAGAGGACAGGTAGTTGACCTGGATGGTCTCCTCGTGGCCGGTGCTCTCGTTGATGCGGAACTTGGTGGCACACATGCCGGCGTTGAGGACGGCATAGTCTATGCGCTGGAGGGTCTTGGTGCGCTCGGCAAAGGCGACGACGGAGTCGTACGAGGCCAGATCCAGCGGCCACGTCTCGATTGTAGCTTTGCCGCCGCCGCCACCGCCGCCAGAGGTGCTCTGCAGGTCTGCGACGGCGGCCTTGCCCTTTTCCTCGTTGCGGGCGCCAATGATGAGCCTGCTCAGGCCGAGGCCGAGGAACTCGAGGCCAATGCCGCAGTTGGCGCCGACGACGACGGCGACCTTGCCGCCGAGGTCGACGTCGGTGACCGCGACGGGCGTAAAGTTCCACTGGCGCGAGAGGAAGCTGGGGATGCTACCCTCCTTTTTCGCCGTGATATTGAACGGTGACGACGCCATATTCTTTGCGCGCGCGCGTGTGTGTGTGTGTAGAAGGGAGGAAGGAGTAGAGGAAGAGGAAGGGTAAAAAAAAATAGCAGCTACCTGTCAAGTAGCCTGTTGCCTGTCAGGCTTCTTGTTGCCATTCAGGGCTTTTTGAGGCCTGGCAACGCACCCTGCAATATCACACAGGCCATGTCCAGGTAACCCCCCCTCCCGTGCTACATGGACGACCCTTTTTGCTACGTGGACGAGCCTCACGTGATAGTAAATGTAGAGCTGGATGGCGGCAGCGATGGCGGCGGCGATATAATTGACGTGAGTAGGTAGCCTGGTTATTGTGTAGATGGTGGCAGAAATGGGGGTACTGACGGCGTTGTGCTGAAGCTGACGGCGGAGATACACAGCCTGGCATTGAGCTCTTTTGAAATACCTTATCTAGTATGAGAGTCGCTAGCTAAACTAGGTATCTTTGAGGTACTAGCGGGGTATATCACACGAGGCTCGTCCGCCCCAGCGGAGTTGGCGGATTCCAGGTACCCGGGTGGATCTTGACAAACGTAAATATCCCGTATTAGGCAAATGTCCCAAAGCGCTAACACCGTATGCACTGGCAGTGAGTGGATCACCGTTTGTTACGGAGTCAAGTATAGGAGACGCCTCTATAGTCCGCGGACCTATATAAGGCTGTCATTAATTACCTGATTGATAATCCGCCGATGATGAAATGAGATTGCCGACATGAATATGACATGCATGCCCATCTGCAGCACTAAAAAAAGCTGCCGCCGTTGGTAGCATCATCAACTCGGGCCGTCGCGCCCCACGGTATGCCGGCTCATGCAGGCCGACGCACCACTGAGATCAAATATACTCCGGACGGCTTGCAAATATTTGTCCAGCATCCTTATTATACTTTAGCAACCAGTAATAGTAGACTATTTTCAACGCCAAAATTGTCTCAGCTTATGCTCATTGTACAGTGCCTCGTCTGAGAGGCCAATGGTATACGCAGCATCACTTGCTTCGTTTCTAGCCCATCATTGCTGAATTATGATGCGTGTTTCTATACAATAAACAGATAGAAACTACCTTGAAAAAATTGTTTTGTTTGTTTCATCTCAGTTCGATGCCTCGCTTCGGTAGCCCCCCGAGAAGTGGCGCTACTCATGCTGACCGGTCGCAGCTAGAGCTATCCAAAACTAGCCCAGGCGAGGCAAACTATTGTTTACTTTGCAGTTAGCGCTTAATCGCACATCTAAATAAACATTCTTGGCACGGGTAAACGGCACTGTTAGGTGTATATGCCGATATCTGACCCAGCCTAGACAAGCCATTGTCATGATGACCGTGGCCGCTTGTAATTTCGACGGGTAAAATAGTTGCAAACCTCCCGGGTCGCTGAAATTGCGCAATTGGCTATATTGCTTGAATCATAAGGGAAAATCCCAACTTACAGAATAATACTTCATAATATCAATTTGTTAGCCTGCACCAGGCCATTGTTGCCCTCGTCATCGTGCTTCTGGGGTGGCTCAAAAAAAAAAGATTCATAATAGAACTGGCACTCTGTTTTTGCTGCTCAGGGCTTGACATGCCATACATACGTGAGCGACCGAGCTCGTGTACTCCCATTTCCGTGACGCACTGGCAGAAAAGTTGCAGATTCCGGCTTGATGCTTAGAGGGAGAACTGAAGCCCGAAGAGTCAGAAGCGAAAAGCTTACAGGATGGCCATCACCTAATGCTATCAACAGCTCCCCCCTCCCCCACCGCCTCCTCCTCCTCCGCAACCGCCGCCGCCGCCGCTAGAGCCGCCGCCACAACCACCACCACCGCCACCACCGCAGGCACCACTGGAGCACCCACCTACACCACAGCCCTAAAGAAACGATGAGTGTTCAGTTTCAAACTATTCCATTTTGAGTTTCACTTACCCCAGCACCACTGGAACACCCTCCCGGGCCCCCGCACGCTCCCGCCGCAACGGCCCCCGAGCCGCAAGTGCCGGCAGCACAGGCCCCGCCGGCGCCGACGGAGCACGGATCAGCGCCATAATACATGCCGCCCGTAAACCAGGTCGGGTACATCCACGGTCCGTACGCTAACGCGACACATAGTAAGCTTGCTGCGATCTGTTTGTAGATGGGCTGGTTGATGTGATGGATTTACCGTAGTATGGGTATCCCCATTGGTTGTAGTACTCATCTCTGGGCGGCAGCTCCCGACCTCTCTTAGCAGCCCGCTTGCGTGCCTTTTGGTACTCCTCCTCGATCCTTTGTGCATGGCGAGCCCGTCGCGCTTGCTCAGTGGCCGAGGCAATGGCGGCAAAGCGCACGGCGTTGTGTGCGGAAATGTGCGCCGAGTTGTCAGGCGGGCATAGCTTTGCCGCTCCCGAAGTATGAAAGTCTTCAGAGACTCTGTGATCTTTTGATTTGAAAAGTGAACTTATAGAGGAGACCAGCGATGAACGAACGGCTGTTGAAAGCTGCATGTAAGTCTTGGGGGGGTAGTAAGTAGTCTTTCGGATATTAGAAGCGAACTCACTCTCGCAATACCAGCAAGTACACTCGCTGTAAACCTGGCCAAAAAAATCCTGATACTTTTTGGTAGTAAAGGCAAAGGCTTCTTCGAGTTTGCCTTCGTCAATCTTGTCGTCGTGATCAATGAACTTGTGCATTCTGCGCACAGTGTGTTGATAGTAGGATTGAGGACGGACCTGATGCGTGTGCCAGGCAAGGTCAACATCAAGAGTCGGCACGACCGTCTGGCCTGGGTAGCCCTCCATGATGAACAAGAAGCGCTGGTACTTTTTGATGAGGCGCTGCATTGTCGGCTTAGCCGAGGGACTGTGCAGCCAATCGAGGTTGACCATCTTGTCAATGAAAATGCCCTGACGCATCACAGCGCTGCAGAGATCGAGTGCAAAGGGCGAAAAGTTTTCCCAGTATCGGCTCATCATTTTTCGCGTCGACAGCCGCGAGTTTCTGTGCAAGTCGTAGCTTGGTTTGTGCGCCGTGTCGTCGATTTCGCGCAACATGCTGTGATTTTTCAAGACTCGTTCAATGAGGAGCCTTATCGTGTCCATTGTTGGGTGAGGATGGCCACCGCCCGGCTGGATAAGCTCCATGATTTGAATGCGAAGAACTTTCTGAATCATGCGATTTGGAAACGCGCGGACGAAGCTTTCTGATCTGAAACGCGTGACGTCTACTTCTGGTCTCCCTTTCTGAGGGCTGAGAATCGTTCCCGGCATAGGAACCGATTTCTTCAGGAGCAGGGTAGTATCGTGGAGGAACTTGGAGACCGACAGGAGTTCCTTGTAATTTTGTCGACCGCAAGTCATGCATACGAAGCTAAACTTGCCATCGCCATATCCTTCACCGATTAAATCGCGAGAGCGGTAAGAATTGCCACTGTCATCTTTGCCACACGTCGTCCACGGCGCCTCGTATCGTGCAGGGCAGTAGGGACATTTGAGAGTCTTCGTCAGAGGGTCGTCCTGATTGAGCCAACTGCGCCCAGATTGTGCCACCCAAATCGCTTGCGTGTCAGCAGAGACATTGTAAGCGAAATCGTCTCCAATCGCATCATTAATCAGTTTCCAAGGCAAACCAGCCGCCCAGAAGCTATTCAGACCGTATCGCATGCAATCTTCGAGAAATGCGCGAGGGTTGAGCATGTGTGTATGCATAACCATGAGAACGTCTGCATCCTGGGTTAGCTACAGATGGATACAAATGCTTTTAGCACAGACTGACCGAGCGGAGGCATACTGACTTTCTGCCAGTCAAAATTACGGCTTGTGCTTGGGAAACACATATACTTGTCGCCATCCAGGACAGTCATATCGGCGTTGGTGAGCATCTCAATGTCTTGCGCGTTCCACCAGGCTTCATAGCGATCGACAGCTCGTGCCAGGAAGATTGCCCACCTCTTTTCACGAAGCTTGCTGAGCATCATCTTCTTCTCTTCATCACTGGTAATCTCGGCTGGTCTCGTTTGAGGGGGTAATTTTGACGCCTCTAGAGAAATGCCCTTGCCATCGCTAACAAGGCTGTCCCAGATCCCCCAAAGGCCGTCTGTGTAGCCTATATCCTCCTTCATGGCCTGAATAGCGTGGAGAAGTTTTAGGTGCGCAAGACAACGGCTTTCGGTAACATCAAAGCCGTAATTCTTGTTTGAAGGGTCTCTGCTCTGCGACGGGGTAGGCTTGTCGTCAAAGGTGATTGCAGGTAAAGGCGGCAAAGACCCATCTGTCTGGTCGGCAACAGCCTGATAGCTTGGTACTGGTTCATCATGTAGGCCACGGGCCGCCTCATCCGTAGCGGCAGGTATGTCATCTCCTTTGTTATCTGCTGGGCTCATGGTGAAGGGCTTATTTTAATCTGGCCTAGCATGGAAGTGGGCGGTGCCGAGCATTCTTATATCGAGCTGGCACAGGCGCTCCCGGGTACGATCACCATGGGCGGAGGCGTTGCCGCTCAGTTGGGGGGTGGCATTCAGCTACAAATGTCTAGGGTGGGCTCTATGATGTCAGGCGGCTACCCAGCACGAATATCGAGGGTTGCAGCTGGGTGATTACTGCAGACTTTAATGCTTGCACAAGCAGAAGTGAGGCTGACTAGGCAGCAACTTTGCATGGCGCAGCCTGATGTCAGAGGATCGATAAAACAGGCTGAGCAATCTATCAGGGCGAATGCTGACCACATGGACGGTGTGGACCAGACAGAGCCTTTGGTGCTTGGGTGTCGCAGGGCTTTGCCAAGTCGGAAAAAATAGCAACAGGCGGTTGGCAATGTGTTGTTACAGCGCGTAGACATGATTTCGGATGGCTATCAACCGAGAATACAATATCAAAGACGAAGACTTTGGCGCCGCCAAATATTCTAGTTTCGAACCGATACCTGGTAGGTGAGACGACGACAGGCTGTGGAACTAAGGTGGCGGCTCATGAGACCAGACCCTGGGTTAAGAATAGATATACGAGTGCGCCTGGTTGATTCCATCAAGAACAGACACGTCACTTGCTGCTCATAACTTCATCGTAGGCGGCAGGAAATATCCGCACATTGTGCCACCACCGTCCCAAAGCCTGATTACTTAAGCTAGTAGCTCGTTTGCTGGTGTACCCGATAGATTGGCGTTGTCTCGCTTGCTATTCAGTTAGTATAACTCGTGTAACTTGTCGCATATACTGGTGAATTAAAGAAAAAACTACGGCTCTGAATGGCTACAAGGCCGCCTAGGTGTGCTAGGCAATGCTAGACACCCAGGCTAAGGGTTGTGGCGTTCGCTTCTCATCTGTGGCTCAACCAACTCGGGTGAGGCTGGGGTTGTGCAAATGATGCACAAAGTGGATCTTTATGCATCCTTTGTGCTTCCGCCCCAGCCATCAGCAACTCCACACTCCACCAGAACGCTTCCGCTCGCCTCACTTGCTCTTCCGACACCTGCGATTGCTGTGTCCATTTGCACTCCTCATCTACCCGACCGGCAACTTCGCCTGCCGCCCTCGTCTCGGTCTGCGCGGCTGCAAAGACACATTTCTATCCAGGCACTTGGCTATGGGATCCCCGTCTGCGACGCTCATTCTCAGCCTTTAGCAGCTTCCACCCTCCAACAGCTGCTGCGGGCGGCACTCCCATTACAAAGTGGCGGGCGCGAGCGCACTGTCGGCCGCACCACTATTCGACTTCACATCATCTTTACACACTAAGCCTCATCGTCGTGCGCCGACTGCGACTGTCTCTGCGGAGCAATTATGACTCTCCGAGCCGGCACGAACGGCCTGGTTTCCAACGGTCACAACCACGGCAGTAATCACGGCAGCGTCAATGGCGAGCCTTCAAGATTCAAGTCACAGGATCTCTCTCGAAATCACAGCCCCGATGGCCACGATCATCGCCCCTCCACCGCGCCCGGCCGCAAAAATGGTTTCTCCTCCAGCGTCGAGATGGGAGACAACTTGGCCAGGCAGCGCCCACAACGCCCAAACAAGCCCATGCTCGTGCGCTCCAAGAGTGACTACGCCAGGCCTCAAGAACAAGACGATTCGGAGCAAGACGATGATGACATTCCCGAATGGGGTGCTAGACACGGCTTCGAGGACCATTATCAATCCGAACATATCATTACACAGCTCGCCACCGTATGTTGCGCTATAGCTGCTTGACACCCAAGTGTGCTAACTCTGTTAGAATTGGTGCATGTATTTCACCGACAAGCGCCACGACACGACCGGCAAGCCCAAGGCCCCACAGTCTGAGCTTCACGACTGGCGACAAAGGGATCGTCTGAAAACCGTTTCTGCGGCTCTCGCCGTCTGCCTTAACATTGGCGTTGAGCCCCCCGACCAGCTCAAGACCAACCCAGGCGCCAAGCTCGAGGCGTGGACCGATCCTACTATACCACCGGCTCAAAAGGCTCTAGAGAATATCGGAAAGGCCCTTCAGTCTCAGTACGAAACGCTGGCCATTAGAGCTCGCTACAAGCAGTATCTGGACCCCTCCGTTGAAGAGACGAAAAAATTCTGCGTTTCTCTGCGGCGAAACGCCAAAGATGAGCGCGTCCTGTTCCATTACAACGGCCATGGTGTTCCCAAGCCTACAGCCTCGGGTGAAATTTGGGTCTTTAACAAGACCTACACACAGTATATCCCGGTATCACTATATGATCTTCAGCATTGGCTGCAAGCACCGACCATCTATGTTTGGGACTGCTCCGAAGCCGGTAATATCCTCAACAACTATCATCGCTTCGTGGAAAAGCACGAAGAAGAGGAAAAGGAGACAGCCCAGCGCGATCCTCACTACGAAAAGACGGCTTTCCGCCCCTATATACATCTGGCTGCTTGCGCCGCCAAGGAGAACCTCCCGACTAACCCTTTACTCCCCGCCGACTTGTTTACGGCCTGTCTCACCACTCCCATTGAAATGGCTCTCTGGTTTTTTGTCCTTCAAAACCCCCTCAAGACCGCCTTAACACCCGAGCGTGCCAAAAAGCTTCCGGGGCGTCTGCAGGAGCGACGAACCCCCCTGGGCGAGCTTAACTGGATCTTCACAGCCATTACGGACAGTATCGCTTGGACTACGCTCCCTCGCGATCTTTTTCGAAAGTTCTTTCGCCAAGATCTCATGGTTGCCGCCCTTTTTCGCAACTTTTTGCTCGCACAGAGAGTCATGATGGTCTATCGCTGTCACCCTCAGTCATATCCGCAGCTTCCTGACACGCATCAGCACCCTCTCTGGGAGACATGGGATCTGGCTGTGGACATGGCATTGGCCCAGCTTCCCATGCTCGAGAAGAAGGAGACCGACGGCACCGAATACGAGTACCAAAACTCGACCTTCTTCACCGAACAACTGACTGCCTTTGAAGTTTACCTGACGCGTGGGGATGCAGTAGCTCAAAAGCCACCGGATCAATTGCCCGTGGTCTTGCAGGTACTCCTGAGCCAGCAACATAGAGTTCGTGCTCTCATTCTCCTTGGCAGATTCCTTGACTTGGGCCCGTGGTCGGTGCAACTGGCTCTCAGCATCGGAATTTTCCCATATGTGCTAAAGCTTCTCCAGTCGGCAGCGACTGAGCTGAAGCCTGTCATGGTGTTTATCTGGGCTCGACTCATTGCCGTCGATATTAGCTGCCAACAAGACCTTGCCAAGGACAATGGTTATGGCTATTTTGCGCAGATACTCAAGCCCACCGAGGCACTGCCAGTCGTCGACAGTGATGAGCACAAGGCCATGTGCGCCTTTATCCTGGCTATGCTGTGCAAGGATTATCAGAATGGCCAGATGATCTGCAACCAAACGGACATCATGACTTACTGCTTGACGCATATTCAGAACCAGGAGAATCACCTCTTGAGGCAGTGGGCATGCTTATGCATCAGTCAGCTGTGGCAAGATCTTCCAGAGGCCAAATGGCGTGGTATCAGGGAGAACGCCTATGTGACACTCGCATGCCTCACTAAAGATCCTTGCTGTGAAGTGCGCGCAGCCGTCATTCATGCCATGACTACATTCCTCGGTATCCCAGATCTGACCGAAGAGGTAGCAAAAATCGAAGAATCGATCGCCTGGACAATTTTGGACATGGGAACGGATGGCAGCCCCATGGTGCGCAAGGAATTCTTAGTCTTTCTATCGCACTTCATTGTGCGTTACGAAAGTAAGTTTTTGGTAACCGCGTATGAACAGCTGTTGGAAGAAAAGGATTATCTACTCTTCCCTCCACAGGATGACGGCCATGACTACAAAATGGGACTGCACTATGCACGCGCCGAGAACCGCAACAAGGATGGCACGATCAAGCCTACCGCCCATGGACTTTCTCACAACAGCGTCTACATGGCCTGCTGGAAGCACGCTCTGATATTGAGCGTCGACCCTCACCCGGATGTCCAGCGTTCGGCTACTATCATCATTGACTATATGCATAAAGCCCTTATCAATTCACCTGTTGGAGAACAGGCTCAGTCTTTGATGCGCGAAATTCAAAGGAGAGCGAACCGCGCCACTTTCAAGAGTGCGGCCACGGCTCACCAGCGAAGAAGTCTCATGAGCGGAAATGGCGCACCTGTCGCGGCTCCTCTGCCATCACCAGGTCTGCTTAGACGTACTGCAAGCCTGCTGTTCCAATCATTTGTCGGTGCCGAGGACAAGTCTCGGCCAAATACGCCATCTGGTTCTGTCACGTCGATAGCCCCGCCGAGATCCCCGGGTGCTCCCCTCCCTCCGGATCAAACGTTTGCACCTCCTGAACAAAATGATAGCTTTGGCACTCCTGCCGCTTACCACACCGCCCGTGAGCCTGTTTCCGGCCAATTTGAGGAACGAGACCTGACAGAGTCGCCGACTCTGCCTTTGATAAGCAAGTTTTTGGACTGGTCAACCGAATACTTTCGGGAGCCCCAAATGAAGAACAGCGAGGCAGACGAACCCGGCAGCACAGACTACAACGAAAGACTCTGGAGAAGACAGCGGAACGAGACAATCCTACGTGAGACCCAACCGCTCAAGCAGTTTGCAGGCAGCCATCGATGGAATAATCAGCTTTCCATGGTGAACAATGGCGCGCAGCCCGCAAAGATGACGTTTCATCAATACGAAGATCATCTGGCTGTGTCCGATGACGGCAACACTGTCACGGTGTGGGATTGGAAACGACAGGGCCGATTGAGCAAATTCTCCAACGGAAATCCCGAAGGCTCCAGGATCAGCGACATGAAGTTTATCAATGAGGACGACCAGGCAATGCTGTTGACGGGGTCATCAGACGGCGTCATTAGAATTTACCGCAACTACGATTCCGACGGAGACATTGAGCTGGCCACGTCTTGGCGCGCACTTACACACATGGTGCCGAGCAATGTAAACTCGGGCATGGTATTCGACTGGCAGCAAGTGAAGGGTCGAGTCCTCGTCGCAGGCGATGTGCGTGTCATTCGGGTATGGTATGCCGCAAGCGAGACGTGCGTCATGGATATTCCTGCTCGATCAGGATCATGTGTTACCTCGCTGACTTCGGATCAAATGACTGGCGACATCTTTGTGGCCGGCTTTGGCGACGGAGCGGTTCGCGTCTTTGACACTCGTATGAGACCCCAAGAATCGATGGTGCGCAAGTGGAAGGACGAGTCAGACCGCCAATGGATCAAAGCTGTTCATATGCAGCGAGGTGGACAGCGCGAGCTGATGAGCGCCAGCCGAAATGGCAAAGTCAAGATTTGGGACATTCGAATGGACAAGGCGCTGCGGTCGTTCCAGACGATGCGAGACACTCTTCGTACCGCCAGCACGCACGAGCACTTGCCTGTTTTTGCAGTGTAAGTCGATAATTATCTGTTTTTATAAATGCGTACTAATACGTACAGTGGCACCTCGACGCATTCCGTAAAGGTCTTTAACCTCGACGGAGCAGAGCTCTCGCGGCTGGAGCCGTACTCGAGTTTCCTGCAGCAGAGCCGCAGTTCGCCCATTTCGGCGACGGCGTTCCATCCGCACCGTCCTATACTAGGATGTGCGGCGCGAGGCGACCATCACATTAACCTTTTCACCTGTGAAAAGGGTGAGCCATTGAGTCTGCCTTGAGGGCAAAACTGGATAGCATTGTGTGAGGCGGTTCAGCGGCAACGAACCATATTTTTAATTTCTCATTACTACATTATTTCTCTAAGCGTTCTTGCTGTTTTCTTTTAATTCTTCACTATTGTATTAGGTACTCTTCCCAACATGTTTTGAGTAGCGAGATGGGTGGCGTTGGGCAAGACACGTTGTTGTGAGCTGGTCATTGCATAGCCTGCGTAATTGGCTAGGAACTCTACCGCAAGGGAAGCGGTACTAATTATAGCGTTGAATATACCATGAATATAATTCAAGCTCTTCCATGAATACTCCCGCGATGAGGACCGAGACCGGCTTGCTGGAGTCAGGCCGATGAGGCACACGAGCCTGTCCCGGCCCCACCTTGAAGAATGACGCTGTGCGGCTTGTGGTGGCCTGCCTTTGGTGGGTTGGCGGGGTAAAAAACACCAGATTTTATGACTCTTTTCTTCCCTACTCTCACAATTACTTGTGCCATAAAAGTATCTTTCTTGTCCACCACCAGAGCTTCTGCTTCGATTGAAGGTGGATAGAATCGTTTGTTTTGACTGATAGCTTGCGATTGACTCAACCGTATCCGTTGACGACACGACACCGACTCGAGCCTGGGCAGACGACCTACCCCGCCCTCGACCGCAACATTGAAGAAACAAGCCATCGATACCGCACGCACGCCTTCTGACATGGCTGACGCTCCCGCTCCTGGGGCTAGCAAACCCGCTGAGCAGCCCGCTGCTGCTGCCGCTGCTGCCTCTGCCGGCGGTGAGGAGGCTGGCGAGGCCGGCCCCTCGAAAAAGGCCCTGAAAAAGGCCGAAGCCAAGGCCAAGAAGGAAGCTGAAAAGGCGCGTCGCGCGGCCGAGCACCAGGCCAGCCAGGCCGCCGCCAAGGCCGCCGCCGGCAACACGGAGGACCTGGCCAAGGACAGCTACGGCCCGGTGCTGCCCGCGACCAAGGTCGAGAGCCCCCGCGTCAACCTCAAAAACGTCGACGAGTCGCTGCTGGGCAAGCCAATCAAGCTGCGGGCGTGGATCCAAAACTCGCGCATGCAGGGCGCCAAGATGGCGTTTGTCGAGCTGCGCGAGGAGCGCGACTGGGCGATCCAGGGCGTGGTGGCGGCGTCGCCCGAGGGCTTGCCCGTCAGCAAGCAAATGGTCAAGTGGATCGGCGGGCTCAACCTCGAGAGCTTTGTGCTCGTCGAGGGCCGCATCGAGAAGCCGCTCGAGCCCGTCAAGAGCGTGCGCGTCTCCAACTATGAATTGCACATTACAAAGTGCTACCTGGTCGCCAAGGGGCCCGAGGTGCTGGGCATGGGCCTCGCCGTGTCGAACCGCCCCGTCGCCAACTTTGACGATGAGGAGCCTGCGTCCGGCGCGGCTGCCGATGCGGCCGTTGAAGAGGCCACAAAGGCTGTCGAGGCGGCGTCGCTGGAGCCGGGTGCGGTGCTGCCGAGTGCCTCCATGGCGACCCATCTCAACAACCCGGCCATGCACAAGCGCTCGCCCGTACAGCAGGCCATTGCTGATGTGCGCATGACTACCAGAAAGCTCTTCGCCGAGTATCTCGACTCGCAGGGTTTCAATCAGTTTGAGCCTCCGTGCCTGATTGGTGCCGCTTCCGAGGGCGGCTCCAACGTCTTTGGCCTGCCCTACTTTGACAAGCAGGCGTTTCTGGCGCAGTCACCCCAGTTCTACAAGCAGATTGAAATTGCTGGTGGTCGCAAGCGTGTCTACTGTATCGGCCCCGTGTTCCGTGCTGAAAATTCAAACACGCCCCGCCACATGACCGAGGTACGTTCGACCTTGTCTACTAGCTACAGGAGCTTTACTAACTTGGAATTAGTTTACTGGTCTAGATTTGGAAATGGAAATCGAAGAGGATTACACCGAGGTCCGTGACATGCTCGAGACTACTCTTCTGTACATTTTCCGCGGTCTCAACGAGCGCTGCGCCGAGCAAATTGCCCTGATCCGCACCGTCTATCCCTCGGAGGAGTTTCTGCTGCCGCAGCCTGGCAAGGAGGTGCGCCTCACGTTTGCCGAGGGCCAGGCTCTGCTCCGCGCCGAAGGCCCCGAGGAGTACCGCAACGTGTCCGACGACGAGGACATGTCGACGCCGCAAGAAAAGGCGCTGGGCGCGCTGATTCGCGAAAAGTACCAGACCGACTTTTACATCCTCGACAAGTTCCCCGAGGAGGCGCGGCCGTTTTACGCGCTCGAGGACCCGGTCAACCCCAAGGTGACCAACGCGTATGACTTTTTCATGCGCGGTCAGGAGATTCTGTCTGGCGGGCAGCGTATCCACGACCCGGAGACGCTTGTGGCGCGCATCAAGAAGAAGGGCGTCGACCCGGACAGCCCGGGCATCAAGGAGTACGTCGACGTCTTTCGAAGCGCGGGTGTGCCTCCGCACGGCGGCGGTGGTATTGGTCTCGATCGTGTCGTGGCTTGGTATCTTAATCTGCCCAGCGTGCACTTGTGCAGTTACTACCCACGCACGCCGAAGCGTTTGACGCCGTGAGTGGATTGGTTTTCGGAGATTAGACGGCCGTTCAAAGTGTCGAGGAAATATATAGAAGACGCAAGGGTCAATGAAAATATGGAGATTGTTGTCACCACACCGCTTTGAATTTACTTGACAATGACGATGCCAAGCTGGCACAAGAGTCATGACAGCGTTCGATGGAGTGCATGTACTGTGACTGTGTAAGAAACCGGCCGTATATGTTGGCACTTACTTTTTTTTTATCCGAGTCACAAATAAATTACAGGTATTTTTGCACTATTTATAACACTGGGTCGCGCGGCCGAACAATCCAAGTCACGGCCCACTAACCACTTTCTCCGAGGGAGGGAGGGAGGGTTGGCGAGCCCAGCTGGAGAGAACAGAGACCGAAAAAATACCGTGTCTAGTAGTGAGGCTTCCGCATTTTTTTTTTTGGTCCATCTCTTGGGAAGTCATTCGGCATGGACTGGAAAACATTGCCGTCAACCTTGCGAGGGCAACTTTGCGTTACAGCGCGCGCGTTCTCAACGCTCAAGTGCCCCGCCTCGGCACGTAAAATAAAAAGTGAGGCTAGAGAAGAAGAGTTGATAAGGAAAAAGGAGAGATGTAAAAGAGATTCGCGATCTAACACGTGGCACACTAGACTTTTAACGCCGTCACCAGCGATTCCCCCTCCCCCCTTATGCAAAAGAGGACGACCAAGTAAATCATCTTGCTGTGGGTATGTATAATGCAAGGGACAGGCTCTCTAGAGACTTGCCCTTATTAGCGCGCTAGTGGCTGCTAATGTTGATGCATCGGTGGGGCGGGGGGGGGGGGGGGGGGGGGCTGCTCAGTCTCGGTCACTAGCTATGCGGGCTAGGGGACGGAGCTCAACAGGGCCGGAGATCAACGGGGCCGTAGATCAACGGGGCTCAGAGCTTAATAGATATCGGAGCTTAACAGGAACCGGTGCTTGGGGGACTCTGGCTACGGCGTCTGCACCACGTATAAAAATTGCTAATTAAATCACTATTTAATGTTTTTTTTTCTAAGAAAAAGTATTATTATTCTTTTTTACTAAGTATATCTAGGAAATTATTTTAATAGTTTATAGATAATCTATGCCTTACTTTATGATAAAAATACTTATTTATAATAATAAACTCTAATATTTTTTTAATTTTTAAAAAATAATATCTTTGAAACTTTAAGCTAGTTAATATTGGAATTTATTCTTTAGAGAGATAGGAATTAAAAGAATATATAAGTATTTATAGTAGTCTTATTAATATTAACCCCTACGGCGCCTTCGCTAATAGTATGCCGCATGTTTGCCACAGTGCTTCCTCAAATTCCTACAGTCGCACTTTCTAGCTAGATCCCGACATAAAACTGGCGCCGGTACTTGCCCACCGAGTAGCCGGGCTGCGAGCCAGTGACGGGCGCAACGGAACAGCCTGGGGAGATGTTCTTTGCAGCCCAGCCGGGGCACTCCTTAGTCCCTATCATGGGCGGCACTTGGCATCGTAGGCCTCCTTCGAGCAGTCGACCTGCTCGCAGGTGAGCTTTGCCAGTCTCGGGAAGTCTTATTCTCGAAGGTGGGCGGGCACGATTTGCCGGGCCAATAGGAGGGGAGACGGACGGTAAATGGCGTCGCAGCGGCAACTGTCCTGCTTCTCCGGCTCTTTACGGGCGTGGCGGTCGCTGTAGCGGTGGGAGGGCGCGGGCGTAGGCGTTGACTTATTAGCCTTTACACTAAGCTTCAAAGTCGCCTTCAGAGCAGCCGATCTGCGTGCAGCTCCGGACCAAGCCATTAGGCGAGGTATCCTTGTAGCCGGCCGGCCGGGCAGGCCGCACCGAAAGGGTCACCGGCGAAGAAGGGGGCTTGGAGCAGTCGCACTGGTGATTGTCCTGCTCGTTTTCCTTGACCGTAAATGCCGAGTTCAAGGCCATGCATCTGTCATTTCTTCCGCCTCGGACTCCTTTATACACTCGGCCCGAGGCTTGCCCCAAGACCTTCTCGCAATTCTCAAAGGCGTCGTCCCATCTTATCCAAGCAGGCCCTGACAATGTTTTCCTGCTTATCTGCCTTCGCACTGATTGAGCGTGGTTTGCCGAGGTCTGTCGGGAGTCCAGAACCGGGCTTGCAATGGAAAGGCTGGCTGGCCAGGCTGGCAGAAAAGAATTGGAAGATTCAAAAGCTTCAAGATGATGATGATGGTAGAAGGATGTGATGAAACTATGGTCCGCAGCGGGGATCCTGCTGGTTAAATGGTTTTCTCTGTGTATTAATGGTTACATGTACATATCATTGCATATAAAGATCATTTTTGAGAGGGCCTTTGTTCATCTCTCACGATCATAGACCAACAAGTTGGCGAGGCCTTGCCGTTTGACCCAGTTCATAGATGGACTCGAGGATCCACGTACAAAAGTTAGCCGTCTTGCCAAGCTTTAACGAGTCAGGGAGCCTATTAAGGCGGAAAGCCTTATCCGTTTGTAAGAATTGCCGGATCGTACAGGTTTTTATATTACCCTCTTAGATTTATCTACTAATAATAAATAGAAATTTGGCACCTTGGATTTTCGTGATTAGAGTAGAGTTCAAAAGAGGGTAATTAGATAGACTAGTTCAATAGACAGTTTGCCTACTTCCAATCACCGTCTGATCTGCTTCATGATCTAATGTTGTTAAGCTGGTGCCTGGTAAGCTGTCCTAGCTTAACTAATTTTATTGCCTAAACAACCATTTTATGCTAATTCTGTTCTTCTTCTCCTTTTCCCCTCCCCAAACGCGGTACTTCTCCATGCCCCTCGGCGATCCCAATCTTTGCATATTTGAGCGTTGCAAATTAACCTGCAATTACAAGCCAAAGGGGGGTAGGGGTAATAAAGGGCATGGAGGGGGTATATGTGAAGTCGAGTAAGAGAGCACCTACTCTAGAGGCCAGTAGAGGGTGCCTCATAGAGCCAGCTTGCCTGGCTGTATGAGGCGGAATAATACAAGTAGTCATTTCCGGATACATTGGCAGCCAGGCCCCACACTCTACAATAGAAGGTAGCCATTCAACATCTCCCTTCTATAAGCGCCCTCAATCAATTATGCGTTCGAACAGTAACTCACAGCAACTTGCAAGGATAGCCGATGTAGTCTGACTCAGTGGCGATGATTCTCGACGCGTGTACAATTTCGTATTTAAAACATGAGCTGACCTACATGCCATTGTTTGATCTTGTTTGACCATCCTTTGGCGTGAATTAAGAGCCACAATTAACCACTTCTAGGTCTCTTGAGCAGCCGAAAACAGGAAGAACGTCGGCGTAGGACAGCGCTCGACAACATCATAACTAGCTGTACTAAACAGACTACTTAGATTAATGTCCCGCTTCGAGTTTTTATTAAAGGGATACGACTAATCTAGCTAATTGTGTTTTATGAGGCTAGTATATATTATAATGCCGTTATACCGTAGCTGTAAAGAGTACTGGCGGTAATTAATATAATAGCGGCTGGGAAGCCTAGTGTGTTATAGCAAATGGTGGCGTCGCGAGCACCTGCTGCTGCCTAGCTTTGGCCCGAGGTTATTATGCTAGGCTTTAAAGAAAAGCTTAAAAGTTAGATTTAGGCGAATTCCTATAGACCTTACTTTGCTCGTATTTCTGGGAATAGTGTAGACGTTTATATAGAAACTGACAACGAAAGCTGATGTGTATGAATAATATATTAAGCGTACTGATGAATGTAGACTAATCTTTCTCGCCTAACCTAGCTAATGCGCGCGCTTTCCTATTTGTGAGTGGAAGCTGCTGAGCTTAACTTTACTAAGGACTAGGCCTATACACTTTACTATAAAGGGTTCAACTGTGATTGTATAGGTAGCGAGGTAATGCCTTGGCTATCACAGGATATAAAGGGCTTTGCCTAGACTGAAAGCCCTACTAGCTTAGAGGCTAGACTCATTTCATGCTATATATAACTTATGATAGTAAGGTCTAGAAAGTAACTCGAAGTATTTTAGCTGGCTCCGTTTAAATGGATATGCGCTGCGCGAGAAGCTAATGTGGGACCACGAATGGTTTGCAATATCAGATTCAGACGACGACGACGATAATGGGTTTGAAACTGAATCTAATCAAAATGAAGCTATCCCTACTCCTTACGTACGATTATAGGTATCTAATTTACACTACGGAAAGTACCAGTACTCCTAAGCCCTTGAATTCTATCGTGAGTATATCTATAAGAATATTTATAGTAGTATCTATAGCTATTATAAACGTTAGAAGTATATTATTAGTAGATATATAATAAAGGATATAGTTTTTATCGAAACCTTTAATGTGTTAGGAAAATGTTAGAACCTATCTTGACCTAAACTTTTTTAATAGGGCAGGGCTAGCTTCGGTGATGCGACTCAGTGAGCCGCAGGTGATAAACCATTGTGGCTTCAATTCATCGCATTTGATTCGGGTTGCCGGCACATGAAGCAGCCACTTCGCACTTTCCGATATGTTCGTTTCATCTTGATTCTCACGTCTTGATATGCATCGTTCCTATTACTGAAAAGATGGGACAAGTTATTTCGTCACGTGATTAGAGTTCGCTTCTACATTAGCGTATGTAGCTCCCGCAAGTTTTAGTTTTAGAGCGTTTTGACTCTTGCAAGGCCTAGCACGTGTACCTACAACCTCATTGCGGGACGTCAAACTTGGTGACACAGTGGCCCCGACTTGGCTGACCACGCCCGTGGCGTCGAGCTTAATCGTGTGCATGAGCAAGTGGCTGATTCCAGCATTGACGCCGGCGCTGTGGACCTCGTTCGGGCTCTGGATTCTTGGGCCAGAGGAGGGTCCTAGTGAGGCGAAGTAGGAAACAGCGATGGAGTGCATGGTTTCAAATTTCATGGTCGTCAGAGTTTGCCGAAATGCTGGAAGCAGGGAAGAAAAAGAAAGAAAGATGGCGAATCTACAGTATATAGAACGACCGCGCCCAAGTATGGTCGTGATGGTCTCATCAACTTTGTTGGCTCCTCGGCTTGACGCATTCTCACTCCATCATATTCTCGGATGAAATAATCATCAGCCCTATGTAAACATACTATTTCCCCAGACCATCTACTTGGTCATAAGGGTGTCATGCAGCTGTGCTGCTTGACATGTTCCGCTAGTCGCCGCTTGTCTGACAAGCACTTTTAATTTCCGCAAGCTTTCCGATGGAGGAACTAGGTTTGCCCATTCCTGGAGCGAGAGTGGGTCGACTCTATCTATTCAGCGGGCGGGCCACGGCAACCACAGACAGGTGACAAGGCAACGACCGCAAGCTGGTTCCGTTTCCGGAATAGCACGACTCATAGCTATCCCCGCCGCGGGACCATCAGACGACGTTATTGCAACTGCATAATACTCTACGTACCAAAATAGGCTAGTTAGAATTATGTCGGACTCGTTCTGAGAATAGTGGTAACATCGCGCGAGTAATATAGTAGAAAACACGGGTGTATAAAACTAGAGTATCGAGTCAGTAATTGTAACTCGTACGAGATAATAGTTGGTATAGACAATTTTAATCACGCAGTACGGTGTCCATAGGCAAGGATACTCTGCATAAACTATTTAAAGTGCTAATAATGCTAAATTACTCGTGTAAATGCTTTTCATCGTATCAACTTGTTCCATCATTCAAAGGGTAACCGCCTGGAACAAATTCATACATCCTACAGACCTACGGTGATTCCGGGAGCAACGGACGGTGATTGAGTTTGAGTTGCTCGGAGTCACAGCGTCTCGGAAACTCACCGAGTCGTTGGGAATTCCGAGTACTACTGTATCATACCACCGTATAGTGACGGGCGTTGGCCGTTGAGAAAAAAGCTATATAAGAACAAGGAAGTACCTTACGATTTTATGCTTCAGTATCAAAATCAACAAGTTGATTTACAACAAGTTCTCGAACTCTCGACTTAGCAAAGACTTTGAACAATATGAAGCTCACTTCTGTTATTATTCTTTCGCTTGGCAGTACTGCTCTCGCTGCGCCTGCTGGTGCCTTCGACGTAGGTCTGCATTATATACCAGCCTGAAATATACTAACTGATATAGAAATTCTGTTCCAAGAATCGTAACCAGCCTGACTGCTTCGAAGACGAACGTCAGAATTGGGGCATTCGGGATCCTACTGCGGAGGCGCTAGAGAAAGATGACCCTAACGACGGTGCACGCCCAATCTCGTTCGAGCCCATCACTCCGAAGGTGACTCCGGATAATGACAACGAGCAGGGCAAATGCGATTGCTCTAAGCCTTTCAGCATGAATGCTGATTATGACGAAACCGACACGGACGCGGAAAGATGCCCGGCTGGTTACGAGGACCTCTTTGCGCATCTCAGCATCCCCAACTGCGTTCAAGCTGGCTGCTCTGAGAGCGACTTCAAGGCCAAGTGCAACCGCAACCCTTTTTAGGGCCTACAATTGAATGAAGAAGCTGATGAGCGCCATCACGAATATGGGAGGCTGTCTGAACAGGGAGCTCCTTCCATTCGGCGTTTAGCTCGGCGCCATACAATGGTCTGTGTCTAGCCAAAATAGCAAGAGCCCCTGAATCCATGGCATCATCAGATCTTCCTAAATTCTCGCTTTCTTTAGATAGGTAGTCATGGTCTTGCTGTTTTCCAGAAAGCTTGACCTTCAATTAAACCACTACATACACTTATATAAACAGTTTTAGTGCGCGGTGCCTCGAAAAAAAGTGATTTTCGACAGATCATATCAGTAAACACTCCAAAGTGATTTCTCTGTTCGTATTCATAAATTGATCTTGTTGCTTAAAAGATAGGCAGGTAGGTAGAACCACCCAAACGCCCAAACGGCGGTGTATAGGAGCAAAATAGCCTGAAGTCTTGAAGAGACATGGAAAAGGTAATGGTAATTATATATACAAAAAAATGTTGTTAATAAAGTGCCTTGAAACTAGGTTTTAGTCATACTTTAGTGATGATAACTAAGCTAGTGTCAGAAACTTGTCAGCTTTCGATAGAGTATATGGTGACTGTGTGGGAGAACTAGCCCCGTGTATTGCTGCCTACTTTGCTCCAGCTAGATTACAAGTAAATTCTGCTTCAGCTGAGTCACAGGTACATCTTATTCGAGCTGTATCACAAGTAAATTTTGCTACAGCTGGATCGCAAGTAAATTACAGCACAGACTCGGTGGTTCATTACACCGATTCCGCCAAGAGCTTCATAAAGGGCCAATATGCCCATAAGACTATTATTGCCATAAGGCTAATTAATGCCCCAAGACCAATACATAAAAGCCAAGGCCACAGGGTCAATCAATGCCGGAAGGCGAGTGCCGGATAAGGGGTTGACGATTGTGGGACTACAGGACCGAGGCAAAGGAAAAAGAGTTTATCTGTGACGAAGCTAGCATCTTTATAGAAATCCCCTGCCTAGCGTCGGCGAACCATCACAGAATGATAGCCTACTTGAAGCTAGGAAACGAAAAGGGTTCATTCTCCGTGAAGCTAGCATCTTGATATAGAAGATGAACTATAGGAGCGAGTCAGCGAAATTGGCTAGTACCTTTACCTGCAACTTTACAACAAGATAGCGAGGCAACGAAAAAAAAGAGCCCTTTTCACGAACCCTAGCATCTTTGCTCCGAACATTCTAGCGAGTGCTGGCAGAACCATGTCCAGAAGAACCAGTCGTGACGTGCATTGACGATTCCGCTCGGAGAGCTCAATGTTTCCAGTTCCCCTAGCTTTGACGGACAGTAGGCTGACAAGTAATATACGAGCATACGACGCCCCACGGCAATAAAATCAAGGAAAAGATGCCATCTTGGCTCAAGTTCTCGCCTTTGGCGCGTCTATCATCATTAAATGACGACGGGAGCTCTTCCCCTCACACGCGGAGGTTTGCCTGGTTCGGTGGTACGTTGCGCATCTTACCCGACGGGTTTAAAAAAAAAACGTTATATCGTACCATGTCCTATTACATGGGGCCGTTTGATGCTCAATCTTGGTCTTCCAATAAGGGGTGCGGACTGCTATCACAAGCTTATTAGCAAAGGAACAGCTCATCAAGGGACACACGTATTTCACTAACCTCGCGGCTAGGGCTTTCGCCAGGATTTGCTAAGCAATTGTTCGGGTTTGTCATTGGTTTAAACGGTCTACTAATTGCACAGTAGGGTGTAAAGGTAGCTGACATAAAAAAAGGCCCCCCATTGTAAGCTTGCCATCGGCGATCGCAACGATGAATTGTGAACCTTTTTTCTTTTTTCGACACTGCACTATGCCTTGTCTGGACTAAGCCCGACGCTAAGCATTTTTCAGCCTGGGCCGCTAAAAGAAGGGGAAAGTTTTGTTTGGCCACTAAAAAAAGCTTGCCTTCGACACCACGTTCGCCAAAGTTGGTGAGGAGCCCAAAGCAGGCAGGCGTAACGTATCAGTAACTTGGTGCCCTGCTTTTTATCAACATTCTTAGAAATGCCCACCTTGGCACAAGGGCCCAAACCAGGGATATCGCATAGTTTGTAAAAGTGACGATGGCATTGCCATTGCGGGGGCTAGTCTCAGCTGAAGGCACAGGCGAACGCACAGGCGAAGGCAGCCGGCAAGCAGGGGTCAGACAAAGCAGGGGGGGGGGGGGGCAGTTTTAGACAATGCAAGCATGAGCAGATGCAAGACGGTTCGAGACAATGAAGGCCGATGCAGCATATAGGCTATACGAATTGATGGAGGCGATGCAAAATAGATGATTCTGGGCATATAGGTAAGCAACGAATATAGGAAGGCATCACAGCATACAACACAGCCCTCTGGTCGCCGTGGGCTTAGGTAAGTAAATGGGTGGAAGAAAAGCGCATTACTGTTGATTATTACATTAATCTCTGTTGATTAATACCCCCTTGGCGACGCTAAACTGTAAAAGTTTTGGTGGAGATGGTTATATGGATCCCCTTCCTAACAAAGTATAGCGCTTCGTCGCTTGAAAAGTCAAAAAACGGTTGTTGGAGATGTGTTGGCAGCCTCGCGCTACGACCTAACAGTAACGAGCAAGGAACTCGACGTCAAACTCTAGGAATGAAAACTTGCAAAAGACGCCAAGTAACAGTTGCAAGAGCGCCTTCTTTCTGCAACATTCCGCTTATTTACTTTTTCCTGAAGAATTTCATTAATACATTTACCTCTAATTTAATACAAGTTGATACTGCATTGTCGACGTCGGCCTGTGCCACCCCACCTTTTTTTTATAGCAGCTTACCAACTTACCTACCTAGCTCGGCACAGCCGTTCAGCCGTTCAACCCGCCCTTTACAATGCGCTTCGCCTCTGCGCCCCTCTCCTCTTGTCGCACTGGCAGCATTCTAGACTTTTCAACATTTTACTAAACAACCTAGTTAACCTACTGAGTAAGTTTGCCTCGGGACAGCCCTATCGAATGCCATGGTGATTAATGGCAAAAAAACTTGAAACCCTTTTTTTTTGTGTTGTTGATTACCCGCCACTCTCGTAGCTTTCTTCTTCTTTTTTTTTCTTTCATTTATATTTTATTCCCTTTGCGTCATTCTTTCCTTTTCTCTTCTTTTCTCCACGTCATCCCGCAATCAATTATATCTTTTCTTAATAACCCCCCCTCTCCTCTCCCCGCAAACCATCAGAAGCATTTTTCCAGAACAACAACCTGTACTTTGACAGTGACATGCTTGACAACATTTTCCATCTTCACGCCGCGATGAACTTTTTTTCTGATTACCAATATGACAGCCCCGAAGCTGCTGCCGCCGCCGCCGCTGCTGGCAAGCAACCGTACAGCTTCCTCGAGGATATGCATCCGACGACGACCTCGCACGCTGTACCAGGCAGTTCAAACGAAGTAGGACGCGCGTCAACACCACACGTGCGTGCCATCTGTTCTCCCCCACCCCTCCCCCAAAGGATTCCCAGTCACAGACAGAAACTGACTGCTAGATTTGCGCATACTAGTCAACGTTTGACGCTGCTCTCGCCGGTGAGGATTTTGCCAGCTACGACTACGGCGCGGCGGACCTGGGGCCGCCCAACAGCCTCGCAAGCGCACCGTTTCCTACCAGCCCGCCCGCCGCCGCACACTTGCACCATGCTGCTGCTTTTGCCGCGGCCCAGCAGCAGCAGCAGCAGCAGCACATGGTGCAGCATCATCAGGCCATGCCTGGCCATTCCGAGCAGCAAAGCCCAGAGGCGAGCAAGGGAAACTCGGACGACGACGACTTGACGCCTGCACAGTCCCGCCGCAAGGCGCAAAATCGAGCAGCGTGAGTTTCTTCTTTGAATGCATGAAAGAAAAGAAAAAAAGAGAGAGAGAGCAGAGAGCAATGTCAAGATCTCGGGGAGGGGTTTAGATCTGACAATTGAGCAATTAACAGGCAACGCGCATTTCGCGAACGCAAAGAAAAGCACGTCAAGGACCTCGAGAGCAAGCTCGCCAACCTCGAGAACTCGCAGCAGCAAGCCTCATTTGAAAATGAGCGTCTGCGACGACATCTCCAAAAAGTATCGACAGAAAACGAAATCCTCCGCGCCACATCCAACATGAACAATCAATCCTCCGCGCCGTCCCATCACCAGAATCATCATCATCATCATCAACAACAACAACAACAACACGGCGGCGGCGGCCACCGTCGCCGCGCCTCGTCGCCGCCGTCCATCATCAACGGCCCCACCGAATACCGACCCACGGATTTCTACGCGTCCCTACTACGAGACCACGCCAGCAAGTCGCCCTCGCATCGCATCATCATGGGCGACGACGGCGAGCGCCTGCTAGCTCCCGGCGCGACATGGGACTTGATTGTCTCGCACGAGCTGTATAAGCGCGGACTTGTGAATATCAGCATGGTGAGCGAGCGGCTGCGCGACAAGGCGCGCTGCGACGGCCAGGGCCCCGTGTTTCCCGAATCGGCCATTATGGAGGCTATTATGCAGAGCGTTGCCAGCGGATCGGACGATTTGCTGTGACAATGGCTTGCTTGCTTGCTTGCTTGCTTTGATGATGGTGATGACGACGATGATGATGATGATGCGCCGGAAAGAGGAAAGAAAGGTGTGGGTTTGGCGGATCGGTGCAGATGGGGAACGGCGGGGCCGAAAAGTAGAAAGAGTGGGGCCGGCCCGGTTGTAACATCTTCATTCAATGCTTATAGATAGATGATGTTTGTTCCTTGGCTCGGTTATTGGCATGCCAATACTCCTTTGATCATGGATGATTTTCTTTTTTACTCTTCTTTTTTCAACCATGTACATCACACAGCCCGCTAGAGTTTACGGTATATAGCTATTCTACGTAAAATGATTCCCGAAGAAACCAAGTCATGAATGAAATGGGCCGAGATGTAGGCTTATTTCGAGTACAAATTATATGCAGGAAAGAGTCGGTTCATTTCGAATAGGATTATATTATAAAGAACAAAGGTTGAAAGAGCAAGAATAAAGATATACACATCTCGATAAATTCAACGCCCATCTATCCCATCCAACGCCCACGACTTCCTTCTCTTTCCACCCACACCCCCCTCCACCTTTTCCTCGCGTCATTCTTTTCCGCGTCCCGTCCATGCAATAAATTGAAAAAAAGTCAAGTCCATATGCTATTTAATTTCAAATCACAAAACAGCATTACAAAAAGCAAAGTCTCCCGCATTCTAAGAAAGCAATGAATGGTGTAAAAAGGATAAAACAACAATGCAATATTCACAACAAACTCGTTTTACCATTCTCCTCTTTCCCTCTCTTCAATTACCTGATACAGCCGCCCGTCCTACATCTCCTGCGTCGACAATACACAAAAGTCCGTAATGCGCTCGTCGAGGCAAAGCATTTCCTGCTTCTACTCTTGTTTTCGTGCGAGCTGCACGAGTCGAACTTAATGCGTCTTTTGCGTCTTGGACCACGCAGGCTCAGGAGCCTTGGTGACAGCATCGTCCTCGACGTGGTGATACTTGATAGTCAGGCACCAAATATCAAGGTAATCACAAATGGTGACAATCACATCGACCACAAAGCTGCCATAGACGCCAAACGCTGTGCCGAGCATGAAGAACACGTAGGCAACCTGGTAAGGGCCGTCGCCGAGGGCGCTGGGCCAGCCAAAACCAAAGCGATCCGCAAGAACAGGCCCCATCGAGTCCGCAACGCCAATCATGAGCAGCGCGCCAAGCACATTGTAATAAGGAAAGTCCTGCTTGAGGAGATGCGCTGTAATCATACGGCCGACCGAGTAGGCGTTGACGAGACCGACAAAAATGGCAAACGGAACCAGGTGATTGCGGAGGATGACGGGCTGCTGCTTGAGATACGAGACGACGAGGAACCAGACGGCAAAAATGGGGCCAAGACCGATGAGGGCGCCGCGCGAGTTCTCGCCGCGGGCACGACGCGCGCGCATCACATTGAGCGACGACTCGACCGTGTTGAAGACGAGCACAATGGTGCCCTGCACCAGGTACCACTCAGTAAAGGACAGGTTGTAGATGGACATGGGGATGCCCATGTTGTCGGGGAAGCCGAAAGCTCGCAGCATACTCTGCTGCCAGACGTGGGCGCCGCCGAGGAAGCCGGTCAGGGCGTAGACCAAGACGAGGATGAGGACGCCTTCGACGGGGCCGTTGACGATGCCGAGCGTGAGTGTCTTGGTGTGGTACTCATCCCAGGTTTGGACGTAAAAGGTGAGAAGGGCTGGAGAAGGGGGTTAGCATGTTTCATGGCGATAGCACAAGTACAAGGTGTATACGTACAGGCGAAGAGTGTGGCGACCGTCTTCCATCCTTGGCCCATGTTCTGGGAGGCGGCAAAGATGAGGACTTCGAGGGAGGTGTTGAGGGCGTCGACGCCATGGTCAAAGAGTTCGCCAAGGGGACCGGATTGCTTGGTGCGACGACTACATTCATTGTCAGCATTTGTTCTCTTTTTTCTTTTTTCCTCGCTTCGCTCGACGTGGGCTGTTAAAAACTAGCCTATCTTTTGCAAGATGCGCCGAGCGAAGTGAGACCGTGCAAAAAACTCACGCCTGCGCGCCATCGACGGCATCAAACGTCTGGTAGAGAAACAAGCCGATCGCCCAGCTAAAGTACACCCACGGCGGGCAGTCCTGGTCCAGCGTCGGGTTGTACCACAGCAGCGTCAGGAAATTCACCACCACAAACACGAACCCCGTCAGCGTTATCATGTTGGGTGCCATGGTCATCGGGAACAGGTGGATGACAAAGTTTGTGTAGAATGGCTTCAGGATGTACTTGGACACGAGCGATCGGTCCACCGACGAGTACTTGTACTCGCGCAGCGCCGGCAGCTCGCTATGGCGAATGTAGACCATGGCGGGCGGTTTTCTCTTTTATCGTATCGTCGGCGATGGAGGAAGGAGGAAGATGCGAGTTCTGGAGCGCGAATCGTGATGGAGCGCGTTTTTTTCGGTTTTCTTGTTGGGGCGGAACGGCGGGACAAGAAAAACAGGGGTAATAAGCGATTAAATTGACGAATCCGAGATGCGTGTGCGACGAGTGCGCCCAGCAGAGAAGAAAAAAAGTAATTAGGGCCAGCGAGGCTTGTATTAAAAAAAAAGACGAAAAAGTACACTCTCGAAGAGAAAAATGCCGTCGAGTGGAGAGGAAGCGACTGTTGGCAGATAACCGAGGTGAGGTTAAGTGTTGTGTGTCGTCGTCGCGCCGGCGATGATGGCAGAGGAAAGAAGAAGAGGGCAGCTGTCATTTTCTTGGTCAGGAGGGAAAAGCTGCAAGGTCCTAGACTCCTAGTCTGGGACGTATGGGGGGGGCACCCACATTTGCTATACGGTCTCGTCACGAGTGCATGAATCACGGGCTCGATCAAGACGCACAATTCGGCAAAAGTTTCCAAGATGATGAGAACAGAAGAAAAGAAGAAAGAAAAAAAAAAGAAGACAAAGTACGGAATAATAGCTTGTAAAAAAATTGAAAAAAGACCCCTTTCGTCTTCACCTTCTATGTTCGGGAAGCGCGCACGAGACCATCAGCCCAGCAAGCGGGGCCCTCTCTTCTGCAACCCCTTTCCACCTCCTCCCACTTCAGGGGTGCATCCCAGCAAGCTAATGAATGATCTACCATCTTTCTTTTTTTCCTTGGTCTGCATTATATAATCTTCTTTATACCTTCTCGTTCAGCGCAAAAAGGACACGTCCATTCAGCAGGCTGCTGTACATAGTTGCTCTCCGTCCACCCGCTGTCTTTTTCACGTGCGCTCCACGTACTTGCACATCATGTCCCCCTGGAAATGACCCCTCCCCGTATTATTCCTTCGTCAGCCCACCATCAAAAGTACCCAGACGCGAAACTTTGTCAATTCGCGCTCCCTTCTGTAATAATAACTACAGCCGTTACGTATACCCATCCATCAGCGCGCCTTCCCACAACACCATCGCGGCCTCCATTATCATCACCACCTCCTCCACATGACTCGCTTATCTCTTCAAAGCTGTACCTTGCCCCCAATAGCCACCATACTAGAAATTGTCAACTCTAAAAAACTCACCCATATAACCACCCTGCCCAAAGACGAGACAAACCAGCAAACAACCCTCTGCCAAGTCCCGCTAGCCTTGACCTTTATTCCCCCTAGTTTATCTCCACCCCTCCCTCCTCCCCCATAACCTTGTCCCCTTTCGTCTGGTCCCTGTTCTGCAGTGCTTTCAGGGTTCAACCTTGGACCAGTCAGTGGTGGTAGAGTGTGGATAGAGAATCGCGTCTTCAACGTGGTGCCTTAATATGTTAATTCCCTGTTTACTTCGTAAGGCTGTGTGTGACCGGGGGTCTTTGACCTACTGGTCAATTGAAGAAAATGATATGATTTCCATCTTTGTTGTGTTACCATTATCCTACACCCTTTCTCAATACGGATTAGTTGGCCACCAACCTTCAATCACGTCTGGACCGCCACAGCTTTCCGCCTGCTGCATTCTTCTCGCACCATCTTCCACAAAGACATCACAGGCTCACGACACGTAGCAAATCAGTACAATCTGTCCTATTCAGCTACAATTGTCCGTCCGACTCACATACCGACTTGGTCTACAGCCCAAACCCCTACTGTCCATGACGCTTCTTGGGCAGCTCCTCGAGACTGCGCTCCAGATTGGCCATGGCCATATCGAGAAGCGGCTTGGCGTGCTCAGCCACCTCCATCTTGTTGGCTTCTGCAATCTTAAGCTCCGCGTGCCTGTTCCATCCGCTGCAACCCGGTCGTCCATCGCCAATCACACCCGCATACATCTCCTTTGCCCCGTCTGTCCCCCGTGCCTCTTCGCTGCACAATCTCTCACAACCATGGTACCACATTCTGTCCATCTTTTGCATGTACGCGATAAATGCTGCTTCGTACTCAGGGTTCTTGCGCGTAAACTCACCAGCATACGACGCATGCATGCCCCATCTAGGCCGTGCTAGTCCCGCGTCGCTAGCTGCAAATACATTCGCATCGCGTCTATAGACTCCGCTGTCCGTAGATCCTACAATACCATAGCTCCCATTCATTGAACCAGACTTGAGCGTCTGACTGTCTTGGATAAGCTGTGTCTGGTAAGCTGTCTCGGACTCGTGTCTAGACAGCGAGCCCTCGAGCTTGCCACGGGCATCGTCAATGCCAGCGTGCTGCAGTACCCGTGCCGTAACTGCGTACGCATCGTCCTCCACCTGGTTTGCAGCCTTGACTTCGGTACTCAATGCTTTAAAGGTGGATTTGAAAGTTGATGCACGATACTGCCTCTGTCCAGGCGGCCCGGCCGTCAGGGGTCTTGGGGCACCAAGAGCAATGTGCGTGAGCCAGGCAGCATTCGGTTCCGAACTCTCGCTGTTGGGTGGCGGGCTCGTTCCCTGATGCCGACCCCTCTCGGCGATGCTCTGCAATTCAGCCTTGGCCGTCGGCTGCGATGCCACAGAATCCGAGTTTGACAGTCGTGGTTTGATCCAGGATCGATCATATACTGTATCAGGGCTTGATCTTGAATCCCAAAACTGGGGTGACATGTCGTTTGCACCAACAGTATTGTAGAGGTTGGTTCTCGGCTTCGCCGGGCGCAAGAGGGCTTTCTGGGCCTTCTTCTGAATGGGGTTCGGATATGAAGCAAGGTTTTGAAGCGACTTGACAGTCATGTTCACCATGAGATTATCGATTCCGTCATCTTCCTCTTCATCTTCATCATCTCCGTCTTGGTCTCTGTCACTGGAGATATAGCTTATGCTTTCATCTGCCTCGTGGGCATTATTGGCTGTGGTGGCGCTCCAGCGGGAAGACATGTCATCAAAGTAGCCGTTCTTGTTAACAGGATTGGCCGCTCGATCGTAATTTTGCTGCAAGGGGGTGTACTGGGTGGCAAGATACGGGGAGCTGCGGCCGTTGCTTTTAGCCTGTAAAGACGCAAGCAGGGAGCGTGGCAGTAAGGATAAGTCGGAATAGACGCCACCGGACGTCCACTTGAGCGATCGACCTCGTCTGGTGGGAGGCTGTAGGGGCTGGGTCGAGTTTGGGTTGTAAATGGTACCGGCCGTCGTGTAGGTAGGCTGGGCCTGCTGGTTGGATGAGCCGCTGGCCATGGAAGGAGAGATGCTCTCTGTTGGTGATGGCTTCTCCATCTTGAGCTTTCTCGGATCTGTATTCTGTTTGTTCAAGCGGGTGGATATGTCTTGCTCCTCGATTAAATAGCCGGGCAGAAATGTCGAACAGATAGGCTGAAGCAAAGAAAGAGATCTAGGAAAGTCTGAATTAGAGGAGCCAAATTCAGAGATGCCAAAAGAGTAACGCTCGTCTCCAACACAATCTCCAAAGATTAAGAAGAACAAAATAGGGAAAATTGCACCCAAGAATGCCAAAGCATCAGTGTAGAGTAAATTCGGAATGAATCATTGTTCCAATACTGGAACAAGACGATCATCACTATTACAGCAGCAAAAGACAGGCAGAGAATGCGAGTTGGGCGGATGCTATTTGGTCAGGACGGAAGCGAGCGCGCCTTCCCGAGTCCGCAGCCCCTCCACTTGGTAACCAGAAAAGGAAAAACGGAGCGAGGAAAATGAAGCAGCAGAATAAAGGAAATATGCGTACCTGATGAATCCAAAAAGTAAAGAAAATGAAAAAATCGAATCTCAAATGTACACAAGGAGAGGGTGAGGATAAACGAGTGGCATCTCATCTGCCCATGTCCAAAAAAAGATTTGATTCCAAAGGACAAGAGAGGGAAATTGCAAAAGATCAAGATCAATAGATGGTGGACAAAGTAACTGAGTGAATGGGGCGTATCTCGTCAGGTGTTGATTCCGTCGCCAGCACCGCGTAATATTTCGACCATAGGGAGTGAATGGACTGGTGATGCCGAAACAAAGTCTCGTCACGCAAAAAAGTTATCTCCCAGGCCAAAAGTGCAGCATCGAGAGACGAGGAGAAATTGTGACTGCAAACGAGGGCCGCCACCTGCGACCATTGACGCCCAAGTTCCCCTCCCACGTCACAAGTGCAAACGGGCCTTCAAACACGCACCTCTCTCCACTACAGCCAGCTCAACAAGACAGCCTGACTTCAAAAGTTGACACTTTTGTTGCATTATGTATAATACCACATAGATATCCTATCTCAATAAAAAGACGCTATAGTCCTTTTTTTCAGCGCTTGTATGATGAGCTATACATGTTCAATCCTGTCCTATCGTAAACCTCGCAGCACGCACTTGGCGGCGGTAATCCGTCTCTGCCCCTCGTCAAGCATCCTCCTCCTGTCCTTGCAATGCATTGCAGCTCCTCATAATCGAAATCAAAATTTGAATGACCATCCATACCATAACCAAATAACAGCCAAAATAGCCTTGCAAGGAGAAAAAAAAATAATACACCCGAAATGAGCGACAAGGGAAGAAAAGCTATATATAGAAAGTGCTCATTTCTTCAAACAGCGCCACTCGGAAAGAAGCACAACTGATGAATTGTAGAAAGAAACAGAAAAAATAAACCCCCGTATATCCGAATCCAAAGACAAAATGGAAATTTTCAATGAAAGACAAAAACGCTCGAAGCGAAGTGTGAAAAATCAATCAGCGACTTCCCTATATCGCGTTGGGATACGCGCTTCCAGGGACTAGGCCGGACGGGTTGCCATGTTTGAGCTTCCCGGAACGACCGCCTGCGAGCTGAAAGTCGGGATTGTCTAGAAGTATGTCTTGCCGCTGCTGCTGCTGCTGCACGCGACGCGCACTGTTGCTGGGCATGGGATGCTGGTGCGGATTCCAGCGCGGGTTGACACCACGCTGCGAAACAGACGTAAAGTTGGATCGCTCCGATCCCGCCGGGCTGCGTGATCCATCCATGACGTGCGCATCCTCGTAGACGGGCTCAGAAGGCGAGGCGATAAGGGCCGGATGGGGGCCGGAGGGTTCGTACTTGGGTTCGACGTCTTCGTAATAGCCGCCACGGGAACTAGGACCTGCCGCCAGAGGACTGGTCGGCCCGCGGTAGTCGACAGCTGGGGAGCGGCGATCGGCGCCGTAGACGGAAGACTGGTCCCGCGAGGATCGTCTGCCAGAGTCGTTGTTCCAGGCGGCACGTGGAGGAAGATACTCGTCCGTGCTGTACTTGCTTCCATCGCTCACGTAGCCAGGGCGTATCTGCCCCATAGGGTGACCTTGCTGCATGTGAACCATGCCGGTAGCATCGGCATCGTTCACAAGGGTCGTGTTGATAGGTGGTGCGCCATAGCCATGATGATCCGACACCTTGGTAGCCAACTCGGAAGGCTGGTCAACTCCCGTGGAAGCTTGGCCCGTGGGAGCTAGACCCGCGGGAGCTGGGACTTCGGTGGGGAGCGGTGGCGGCGATTCGGCGCGCGGCAAATCTGCGTCAGTGTTTGCGTAGCTCGGGTTGCTTTGCGATGCCCAATTGTTGTACTCTCCTTGTCTGTCGGCTAGCTGATTATTGTAGGCGTTGTACGAATCCGGAACCGAAGGCCGTCTGTTGTAGCCCTGGTGGCCACCACGGACCATTGCAGCTCCAGCCATGGCACCTCCTGCCATGGCAGCGCCCGCCATTGCTGGGCCACCATATCCGTCTCGTGGCTGGCCATATTCGTCTCGCGGCTGGCTATATCCGTCTCCCCGCTGGCCATAAGGGCCGCCTCTGCCACGAGGCGCCATACCACCGCGGTTATAGCCCCCTCTTCCGCGCATCGGCGCGCCATAGCCACCATAGCCACCGCGACCACCGCGCGGGGCGCCACCTCCACGATAACCAGGCATGCCTCCTCCGGGGCGGCCGTTGGGGCCATATCCTTGACTCTGGGCTCCGTAAGGGTCTCCTTGGACCGGCTGGTTTCCGTATCGGTCGCGTGAGGCAGAGCGCGAGGGTCCAAGGTTTGCGAGGTCATTATTGTTTGTTCCGGGGGTGCGGTCCGCTGTGCCGGCCTGTGTGAGTGGGATGCGCTCGTCACTAACTTGATCATCCTTTTGGCGGGTGCTCTCGTACGAGGCAAACACGGGCAAGCCGTCAGCGCCGGAATTTGCACCGGACATGGCCGTGTGCGGGGCAGGAACACTGGAAATGGTGCTGCCGAATGGCTTGCTGGCCTCGCGGTTGTAGTAGTTTTCGCCGCTCATCTCGGCATTCTCAGCAATCAATTGTCTGCGCTTCTTTCTACCCATCATGGATCGACGCATTGAGAATGTCACAACGGCGCTGATGGCGAGGATGATGGCGGCGGCGAGGACGAGATAAGTTCCAAAGGCCATGTGCGGGAGGAAGAGGACAATGTCGATGACAAAGGCGACGAGGGCGATTAAAAAGGCAAGAAGAGTAAGGATGAAGAGAACGAGAAGGTATCGGGCCGAGTGGGCGGCGGCGTGCGCGTGAGAAGCTCCAGCCATGATCAGCATGAGAAGGGTGACGGCGGCCGCGACTGGGTGCAGAATGAGAATGTTGGAGAGCGTCTTGCGAACAGACTCCTGCATAGTAAATGTGCTCGAACCGTCGGCGGTGACTACAGATGATCGTCAGTAAAGAGAATGTTGAAGGGCAGTTGCGCCGAGCTGCTAACCGTCATAACCAAGGCCAGCACTGCTGCACTTGTCGCCAATGCATTTGCCAAGTACGCCGTATACGGTGTTATCTGCTTTGCCGAGATAGATGGACTTTGTGACGGGCACCGATATGACGGATATGATGAGCAGGGCCAAGGCTGCGGCCAGCAGCACCGTCAGCGGTGTCGCGGGTCGAAGCATGGTATCGAGCGTTGGCTGACTGGCCGAGAGGCCTGAAGCAACTAGAGAGAAGGAGGAAGGGCGGGGGGGAATTTAGCAATGTAGTTATCGGCGCATCGGTAGAAGCAGGTTATCGTCGCGTATAGAACAAGAACAAGGACGAAGAAAAAGCCGAGGAAATATTGGGGTTCGCGACGCGGAAAGGGGGTCAAAGAAAGCGTTCGTTTGTCCAGCCGGAGGTGGGTGAGTCTGCGCAGTAGGCACGGTGTTGGAGGTTTGGCAGAGCAACAATACAGCGGCGTGACCCAACAGCGGCGCGAGTCCAAGAAGGGCGAGCGACGATTCGTTGAAGTAGGGAGAGCAATCTTAGGAAAAAATATATAAATTCGAGGTTGGTCGCAAACGCAAGATGCACAGGCAAGAGAGAGCCGGCGATCAAACACTCGCTTGCAGTGCGAATGATGCAAAGTGCAGGTGAGGCGGGCGGCATTCCAGTATTGCAGAGCGCCTGGGACGAGGACGATGGGGGAACCGGGGGGATGGAGAAAACGGAACGGGCATGGTAAAGGTACCCACGAAGTACTTACTCCTTTGGACACGACGGGACTGCGTTGGTTGCATTGATTGCCCTTTTTTAGCGGGCTTTCCAGTGGTTCCCACGCAGCAGAGTGGGCTCAGTGCTGTTTTTAGCTTGTTCTCTAATTGGGTTTAGTCGTCCGCCGCAGTGGAGGCGGTTTAAATTCAGGCACGCGCAAGGGAAAAAGAGAATGTGGGCTGAAAAAGGAAGGCTGGGATTAACTAGATTTGCCATGCTGCTTTTAATGACTTGCTGTTCAAAGGCCCTCGCATGGACCATGCCTGTCGTGCATATTGTAGAAAAGCGTTGGCGTGTTTTAGCATGGACAAGGGGCGGGATGCAACAGCCTTGTCGCCGGGGTACCTGGTCAGTACATTCTTTTTTTTTGTCGAATGTGGAATGATTATTTACGCTGCATGTTCATCGCACAGCACAGCGCAGGGTGTCACAAGAACGGGACGGGAATCGAGAGTCATTTTGTGTAGAGTAAAGGATGTTTGCAATTGAAGCTGCTCGTTGGGCACAGAAGCTATAATGCTGTGGCGGTCTGCAGGCTGCGTCAATATAACAAGCGCCACGCAGCTCCAGGCTTTACAACTCGTTGGTGAAAGGCTGCACATGCGCGGAGGAACAAGGTAGTCTAACCTGTTCCTTGGTAGCACGTCTTATTTAGGTGCACATTGTCATCATTCAAGCCTCCGCGTTGCTAGATAGCAATAGGTAATTACAAGAGCTGCAGCTAATGTCCCTTTGCATCCTCCGTCAATTCCACACCGTTTGGCGGCCGCGTCCCCCCAGCGGTCAGCGCCCCTCCTTCCATACCTATTGTAGTTGACGTCAACCCGACGACGTCGTGTTCATTCAAGTCATTGTTCGTTGACTGATTTTTTTTTTTCTTTTCTTTTTTGGTGAAAACTTGGCAACGCTTTATTATACCCTTCCCAGGCATAAGTAACCGATCTCAAACCCAAGCCGCCCGCTCGCTCGGCCGCCCGCCCGTATCGCTACCTACGTGGCCTCGGTGTGCCTCGCTCATGCACCTCGCCAGCATCACAGCCCTGATGCATGAGACGACGGCGTGACGCTACATAGGCCACGATCGGTAGGTATTTTTTATTTTGGCTCGCACCCTCTCACTGCTTGCTCATCAATGGTAAGCTGTACAGAAAGCCAGGCGACGCCCAGCCTGCTTGCTCCCCCCCCCCCACCTATCCTCTCGGCCCATACATACCTCTTGTGGGCTTGTCGCTGTGGGCGCCGCCACCAACAGGCACGCAACTTGACAGCCTGCTCACGACAACGACGACGACAACGACGACAACGACAAATTGAAAGGTCCTCTTCCTCCTCCTCTCCGCTCCGGCTCTCTCTGATGCCGAGATTGCACGGGCACCCTAAATAACGCACATCATTGATTCATCGGGCCACGTTCGCCCACGACATGCAACGAGAAACTCAAAAGCCCCCCCCCCTTTCCATTGTGAATAGATAGTTACCCGCGAAACTCAAAACATGCAACCAGTTTTTAGCCAGTAGAGATTATCAGTTATTAGTCACTATTTCGGATATCTCAGAGCAGATGATCCATTCATATTTTTTGGGTTCTCAAGTAACGACTCCTACCTCCCCCTCTCATTTCGATCGTCGTCGACGACACCCACAACTTTGCTTCACCCCCCTGCCATACCGCCAATAACAATGACACAGTCCACATGTTTTGCCCACCTCGCTGCTCGTCAGAGCAAGATTAAAAAGAACGAGCTGCGCCTCAGTGTTGGATGACAAAAGATTCAAAAAAATAAAAAAAAATCAAGGGCGATTTCTTGTTTTATCTTCTCTTTAGTAGCCTTCCTCGCTGTCAGGGAGCCGCAGAATGCAAATTCCGCTCGCAGTAACACAACACACAGCATTACATATAAAGCGCACATCATCCAGTGTTTGTGAGCTCCGAAGCTCATGCAGCTCCTTTCATTGCATTTTCCTCGTCTCTTTTGACAAGAGTCATGTCTTTTCGACAGAGTCAAAATCTGCATCCCGTGACTCTGTGTATTTAGCGCGCGGTGCGCATACAAGACAACAAACTTGTCACGACAAGTTGCAACAAAGCGGTCATGACTGATTGACCCAACTAGAGACGTCTCCGCAGTAGTAGTTAAAAGCACATCTCAATTAATCCAAAGGGCCTCTATAGTTGCCGTGCTAGTTTAATAATTTCCGACCAAAAAGGTTTCTCGCCAACGCCGATGTGAGCACACGAATACGTCACCGTTCATGCATACATGTCTCATGTCGGCCACGCGCGCACCGCGCTAGGTAGGTGCTCGGTGTTTGTACTCGGTGCGAACAATACATATTCACCACGAATCGATCCTTGCATCACTTACTCATTGTCCTCGATACCGTCACATCTTAATTAATTTCCAATTCTTTCCTTTCCTCAAAGTTTCAAACCCTTACAGTATCTAGTGAATATCTCCGAGCTTTTTTTTTTAGATGGTATTGAATCGGCACGAGCTTGTAGAAACATGTCCGCGTTTCAAACCCGACAATGACAGCTCAGCAAAAAGAGTCAAACATGCACGACTCGTTTACTCTAAATATTCTTATTTTCATCCAAAATAGCTTTTGAAACGACATGCATTTTCTTTCAAGAAACAAAAAAAAAACCCGTATGCTTCTCCATCATGCGGCTCATGGGCTCCAGGAAATATCAAAAAAAAAAAAAAAAAGGGGGAAAAAAGGGGGGGGGGGAGACT